ATCGACGGCGATTTCCATTTCCTTTATGTGCGAGGATTGCTTCTATTTCATATTCTTCTTCTTCTTCGAGAACATCAGGTGGTGGTTCTAGAAAGTTCGGACCGTGTACGTTATTTTCGCGATAGGAGGATAGCTGCGAAGCGTGGAACGTAGGGTGGATCCTCCATTGCGGCGGTAATTGGAGCGTAAACGTAATAGGGGATAGCACGGCCGTGATAGTGAACGGGCCGTATCTTTTGGGTGCCAGTTTCCGGGATGGGAGTTTTAGTCTTAAATTGGCAGCTGACAACCATACCTTATCTCCGACTTTCCATGGTTCGTACTTCTGTCCGAAGGATCTTTCCGCCATGCGTTGCATAGCAATGTTATGACAGGAGACGGCTTCTTCTCTTATCTTTTGAAGAATTCTGACTCGTTCCTCAACAGCGGGAACGTCTGATTCCAGAAGTAAGTGTGGGAGAGCTTTCGGCTCGTATCCCATCATGATAAAGAAAGGGGATGCATCCTTTGTGGAGTGTCTTCTGTGATTGTGAACAAATTCTGCCATAGGGAGATGTTCCACCCATTCAGAAGGATTGTTCTGGCAATACATTCGAAGATACGTTTCGAGTTCCTGGTTTAATCGTTCGGTCTGTCCGTCGGTTTGTGGGTGGTAGGCAGTGGAGGGGGCTAAAGAATAATCTAGGAGTCGTGCAAGTTCGATCGAGAATCTGGATAGGAACTGTGGTCCACGATCAGAGATTACTTTGTCATGGAGACCAAATCTTTTGAAAACGTGTTTTAAAAATAGCTTCGCCACTCCTTCCGAGGTAATTGTTTTATGGCAAGGGGTAATGATCACCCCCTTACTAAGCCCGTGGTCTACCATGACCATGACACTATCAAAGCCAGAAGAAACGGGCAGATCAGTAATGAGATCGACGGAGATCTGGGAAAAGGGGCGAGTAGCCATAGTGCTGATAGGGTGTAGGGGTGGGGTTACAGGGTGAGTGTCCACCTTCATCTGTTGGCAAGTAGCGCAGCCATCGACGTAATGGCGGATGTAGGTGCCCATACTGGGCCACCAAGCTTCCCGCTTGACGAGTTCTTCGGTTTTAAAATGTCCGGGATGCCCAGCAGAAGGGTGATCATGATGCTTTCGTAGCAACTGCGGACGATGCGCGGGAGGAATATAAGCTCTATTTTTGTAAAACAGAATATCATCGGCGATACGCCAGTCGCTAAGTGATGATTTCATAGGAGGCAAACATAGGCCATTAAGGGCATCTTGCGCGGCAGAGAAGAGGGGGTCGTCAAGGGGTGCGGCGGAAGCAATAGCTGCTCGTAATTCATCGTCGATTAGGCGGATAAACATGGAATCAGGAAGGAGGATGGCGTCGGCATTATCTCCCGATCCGTCGCCGTGGTCTGGCCGGCGAGAAAGGGCATCCGGAACTGCTAATTTTGTACCGGGGACATGATATAACTGTAAGTCGAAAGAAGTGAGGAGTAGTTGCCATCTGGCCTGCCTTCTGGATAGGCATTCTGCTTTTGCAAAATAGAGGAGGTTCATATGATCAGTAAATACAATGACCGGTTGTGGATGTCCTTCGAGGTAGTGTCGCCAATGGGTGAGGGCGCGGATAATAGCTAACAGCTCGCGATCATGAATGGGGTAATTCCTCTCAGCAGGGCTGAATGACTGCGATAGGTATGCACACGGGTGATAAACGCCATTGGTGTCAGTTTGCAGCAATACCCCTCCTGACGCGACAAGAGAAGCATCCGTAGCGATGGCGAATTGATGGTGGGGGTCGGGGTTCTGAAGAACAGGGTGCGAAGTGAAGCATTCTTTGAGCTTCTCGAACGTTTGCTGGCACAGGGGCGTCCAAGAGAACGATACATTCTTCTTTGTTAGGTCGATAAGGGGTCGAGCAATATCCGAGTAGTGGGAAACAAAGGTTCGGTAGAAGTTACAAAAACCCAAAAAGGATCGAACATCTTTAACTGTTTCAGGGATGGGCCAGTCCTTGATGCCTGCCGTCTTCCCTTTATCCATTTCTACACTTCCTGGTTTGATAATCATTCCAAGGTATTCCACTTCTTCCGCGTCGAACGTGCATTTCTCCGGTTTGACAAATAACTTTTCTTTTCGAAGTTTGTCTAGAATAATGCAGGTTCGTTGTTGGTGTGCGGTGGTTGTTTCGGAGAAGATGAGCATATCGTCCATGTAAATGACGAGCCATCCTTCGTTGAGTTCAGCTCTGAACGTATCGTTCATATACGCTTGGAAAGTGGCTGGGGAATTGCATAATCCGAAGAACATGACCGTGGGTTCAAAATGTCCTTCTTCCGTGATGAACGCGGCTTTCCACCTGTCATCCGGATGAATCCGAATGTTATTGTATCCGGATCGAATATCAATTTTTGTGAATATTTTTGCGCCATGTAACCGTTCAACCAAAGATGATGGGAGTGGCAGGGGATACGCGTTTTTGATAGTCTGGTCATTCAAGAAGCGATAGTCCTGGCATGGTCTGAGTTCTCCGCTTTTCTTTCCTACGAAAAAGAATCCGCTTGCTTGAGGGGATTTAGATTTCGTGATGAACCCTTTGGCAAGATTTTCCTCAATAAATCTTTTTACTGCATTTCATTCATTGTAGGAAAGGGGGTAAATCTTGGACGTTTTGGGAATGAATCCGGGCTTCGTTTCGATACAATGGTCGATACCGGGTCTTCCGGGGGGTAGTTCGTTCAAGCCGTTTTTTGCAAATACGTCAGAGAAATCATGGAGATACTCCGGTACCAATTCTTCAAAAGTTTTTTTTCTTTTCTTTTTCTTCTGAGGCGAACTCCTGTGCTTTGTTACTAAACTTGGATGACTCTTCGATTTGTCGGAGATATTCTCCTTCGTCCGTAAGTTCGGTTAGAGATGATGGTGACGTACTCCAAGCGTCTTCTTTTGTATTGAATTTCTTAGTGAAGAAGGTTTTCTGTGGCCAAGAGGTTTGCTTGACATATTTCTCGATTTCGGCAGATTTTTCTGTTGCCGGAAGGGATACCGTCTGTTTGGTCCAGTCTATAGCGGGGTTCATGGCTCGGAGCCAGGGGATCCCTAGTAGGATCTGGTCCTTTTCTCCTAGTTTGGTAATGTTGAATTTTCCTATCATCATCCTTTGGTCGATTTGGACGATCAGCGTGCAATACCGTTCTACCGGTCCGCTACTGAAGTAGCTTCCATCGGCGGTTTTAATGTAAAAGGGGTTTTCGAGTTTCTTGGTTCCGATGTTATGCTTTTTTACGAAGTCCTCGGAGATATAGGTTCCTGATGCTCCGGAGTCAATTACTGCAGTGGTTTCGACGTTTTTCTGATGCGTTCGGGATACGAGGGTTATGGGGACACGAAGTTCTTTCTTTTCACCAACTGTTCGTATTAGGCGTACAGGTTTTGCTGGAGATGCTATCGTCGATATAGGTCTCCGGTTTAAAAATCCTCATCAATTCTTCTAGCTTCTTCTTCCTCTACCTTCCTCACTGCTGGGTAGGGGGCTTTCTTCTTTTGCGGACATTCCCGTGCCCGATGTCCGATCTGGTGACAGTTGAAGCATTTTCCCGTCCTCATGTATTCTTGTTTGGCTTCGTCGGTGATCCGATCAATAACCATGGCATCCCTATCTCTGGCAGGGATGTATCTTTGATCTCCGCGACCATTCTTCTTCTGGATTTGTCGCGAAGGAAACCTGTTTCTCCGAGCTAACAATCTTGCGTAGCAATTATCCAGATCGACTACTGCAGCGATGTAGTCATCAAGGCTCTTGGGTACCCCTCCTGCGTTGAACATCTTGGTTAGAAGTCCTCCGTTGAGGCCGTTCTCGAAATGATAGATCTTCATATGTTCTTCTTTGATTTTTGCTTGGGTAAGCAACCTTTGGAAGTCTGCAATGTACGTCTGCAGGCCTTCTGGGCCTTGTCTTAGTTCCAGGAGTCGTGCCAACGCGGTCCCAGATGGGTCAATCGGTCCGAAGGCTTTGTCAAAGCTTTCGTTAAATTCTTTCAAGGTTCCATAGCCCTTCTTCTGTCCGGTTGAGTCGATGTATTGTGCCTCTGCGAGGAATTCTTCTTTCCACGACCTAGCATTTCCTTTGTTCATGAACGAGGAGATGAAGATCACTTTCTGAGCGTCGGTTTTATAGATTTCCGAGTTGATATCAATGTAAGCATTGCATGAGAGCATGAATGACTTGGACTTGTCTCTGTCGCCATCGAATGTAGGAGGATGGTTGATCTTGAATTCTGTTGTCTTGGATGAGGCCGACATGTTTAATGGTGGTACAGGAGTACCAAGGTTCAGGGCTTGGAAGGTAGGGGTGAGTGAAGTCAGATTGTCGGCCTTTTCTTCGCCTGCACTAGCTGTCTTGCTCAGTCAGGATTTTTCTGTTCTGGTTTCGAAGTTTCTTTGACACGTATGGATATAGGTGTCTTTCTCGACTTCAATCTTTTGTTACGGACTAGGATAGTTCTTAACAACAAAGGCTCGATAGAGCGTTCACGTTGTTGAGATCTGTATAGCTCTTCAGATAAGAAGAGGTTCGTAGACTTAGTCAAAGGAGTGCTTCGACTAAGAGATCGATTCAGACGTCTTAAGATTGGTGGTCTTAAGCGAAGGAAGTTTCAGGGTAAAACCTAGTAAGATTGAAGTGACATTCCTAAGTAAAGTACACGTGCTTAAATAGGAAACTATATGCGCACGGACCAGGGCTACGGTGAGATGATAGTACAAGAGCCGAATACGGAAGTAAGACCAAGAAAGGAAAGTTAAGTCGCTAAGGAAAATGTAGGGCATAATGGCAGATACGCGAGAAGTAAAGGAAGTAGAGTGATTGTAACATTCCACATACATGGGTGGAAGGGTCTATTCCCGAGTCCCTTCCAAGCATATTCAGCCCATCTGCTACCATTTTCGCGAGCAAATACGTATGTTCTGGGCCCATCCATAGCCTTCCCCGAGATTCCACCCAAAGCTATTTTATCCATGGGGGATTGGGCCCGTCCGTCGCCTTTTCCGAGTCCAAATACAGCAGACTTGGGCCCATCCGTCGCTGTTTCCAAGTCAAAATGCTCGGGAGTTGGGCCCATCCATCACTGTTTCCGAGACCGTCTGCATATGTGCTGGACCAATTTGCCTTTTCTGGGATCAAATCCATGGTGGGCCCATCCGTCATGATTTTCAAGATTACATGCAGAACTGCTGGGCCTATCCTCAGGTATGCAGGCCCACCCGGTCCCACATTTTGGGCCCATCTGTTGCCCTTTTTCCGAGTATGCCTACAAGCTGGGCCCACCCATATGTACACATACATGCGTGCTGGGCCCATCCGTCAAAATTTTCGGCAAATCCGCCTGGCCCATTCTCACCCTCAAGCATGCAGGCCCACCCGGTCACACATTTTGGGCCCACTCATCTCTATGGATCTCACACCTCAGCCCAACCACCAGTATCGGTAATTTCTATACTGTGGGCCCATCCGCCCCCACCCACCCATGGGCCCACCTTGGATGGCCCGGTTACCTGGGCAGAATCTCAACCTTTGGCTGTCTGACTAAGTCGGAAAATGTTACTGAATGGGCTCCCTAAGTACATCAAAACTGAGAATGGATGTGCACCACTTAGACTCAATCAGAAGAGAGTAAAACCAAAGAATTCGCACCTACCCAGCGGTGCTCAGAACTCGACCTTTCGTTCCGTATTTATTCCAACGGTCATCCACTGGGTCGGAAATAGCCAATATCCATGGACTATCTATCCTGGAGCAGAAGTTTTCAGACATTCTCGATGATATCTCCCTGGTGGTGTATCCCACTGCTGGAAACTTTCAGTATGATGATGGCTGCAATCTCGCCTTCACTCTTGTGAGTGAATTCCTATTCTAGTACTATTAGTTGACCGCAATGCTGGCAGGTATCTCAAAGGATCTCTGAGTGGAGAGGAAATTTTGGCTCCACTGCTATCAGCATCCTCATGACATTTTTTGCCTCGACAGATGAATATAACACTAAGGAGGCACGGAAAGCATACACCGAATATCAACTCGAAGATTCACGCTTTGTGTATGAAGACCCGGATAGTGAAGACTTGCCTGGAGCTTTCTTATCAGAATTCATTTTGCACATCTTCGCTGTTCAACTCAACGCCACCCAAGGATGCCAGATAATTGACTTGCTTGACTTCGAGTTACCTGGATATGCAACAGCCCTTGCACTGACCACCGCAGCCATGAGTTTTGCATCACCTTTACAAAAGTTACTAATTTATCATTTGCAGGCCGAGTGTGCACTTATTTTAGCTCGCAACGACCTCATTGTGGAAGATACTTTGGACTAAGGGAAACACAAGGTCATGTTGACGCTCAACCACGCCACCAACAAAATGAGTAACACAGGCACTGCTTTTCTTTGGGCAATTGAGAGACTGATATGATCGCATACATGGAGTGAATCAAGGAGCTGCCCTTCGACTGCGTGCAAGAAATCATCCAACGATCTCAAGCGTACATGAAGCGTACTCACTGCAGGGGTCCAGATGAAGACAATATTCTCAATGATGGAAGTCAGGTCCCCATGAATCTGTGTTTGCATATCCATATCTGTAGTATTTGTTTCTTTATTTCTTTATTTCTTATTTCTTTATTTCTTTATTTCTTATTCTTTATTTCTTTATTTCTTTATTCTTTATTTCTTTATTTCTTTATTTCTTTATTTCTTTATTTCTTTATTTCTTTATTTCTTTATTTCTTTATTTCTTTATTTCTTTATTTCTTTATTTCTTTATTTCTTTATTTCTTTATTTCTTTATTTCTTTATTTCTTTATTTCTTTATTTCTTTATTTCTTTATTCTTTATTTCTTTATTTCTTTATTTCTTTATTTCTTTATTTTGATTTTTCTTTATTTTGATTTTTCTTGCTCTGACACCATTATATTTAACAGAACTTGGTTGGCCACTATATGCGCGCATCTCCCCGCCTCAAATCATCAATCACTTCAATCCCTGCTCGTGCCATCGTCAATTCCTTTCATACACATTTTCTAATGTTTTTTTCATCATTTTCATAGATCGCCTTGAACCAATTGACATCCTTTTTTCGCCTTAGTCTACTTAGTATCATTCTGTCCTACGAAATAATGATATCCTTAGCTGCCTTATTTGCCTGATTTTAAGTGAACTGCCTTGGTTTAAGGAAGTGGATCTACTTTTTTCGCCTTATTTTAAGGCAGAAAAACGGCCTTAAATTTGCCTTATTGTACGAATTAAGGCACTTAAGGAGCAAATAAGGCACGAAAAGGCACTCGATGATTTGCTGATGTTCGGGTTTGAACCTAGGTTCTGGACAGACTCCTACCCATCGGCAGTATGTTGAGAGTACATCCGAGTGCCGCCACACAAACCAAATACAACCAACAATAATTCAAACAGCGCAACTTTGGACTCTAACACACTTGGCTGACTGGCACAAGTTGTTGGTGGCACAAGAGTTTGACCTTGTTTGTATCTCCCATTTGTATCAGCTCAATAATAAAGGCAAGGGGAAGATTCGAACGCGGGTCGTAAGGCAAAAAAGGGAGTATAACTTACCACTACACCATAGTGGTTTCTCTTTCATCAGCAAACCAGCTGGTACCTGTACAATGTTGTACAAGACTGTACAAGCCTGTACAAGCCTTACAGTCACACAGGAAAGTCTACCCTTTACAGTCCTGTCACAAGGTCTCACAATATATACAAATGTTACAGTCTGTGCCTTTGTACAGACAATACACATGATACATGTTGTGTAGGTGATACATGTTGTATAGGTGGCACATTTTATATAAGTTTATGCAGTTGCTAGACATTGTACAGGCTTGTAAAGGATGCAAAACCGTGCTGATTGTCACAAATTACAACATGCTGAATGAGAGAGTATGCTAGATTATAAGATGATGTTGACATCCTCCATATCACTGCCTCCCATACCGCCCTCGTCAAAATCAAGGTCACCCGTCCCAATCATAGCCCACTGCTCCAATATCTCCTCGAGCTCCACACGATGGTCAGGATTTTCTAGAAGTGCGTCTGTAGACCTCTGCAGCGAGTTGAAATCAGCCCTACATTTATCCACGGAGAGGTCTGGGACTTTGTCAGTGCCGGTCTCGCGAAACCCAGTGAGGACACCCTTCATCTGTCGATTTGTCAATGACTAAATAACACAAATAAAATAAAAAACAGGGTGCACCACGGCGCCCACAAGAAGCAGCCCATTGACAGGTATTGCACGTCGAAATTCAGATGTGTTCTTGAGGGCTTTCTTGCTATTACCGTAGTAGAATTCGAGGCAGCCATCCCTGAGAGCTTGCGAGACAAAATTCTTCCATTTGCCCTATAAAACTAATAGTGAGTGGCTGCCTTGGGAGGCGTAAACAGGTAACCATACATTAGATGAATCAGGAACACGAAGATAATCACCGGTCTTGAGTAACTTGGTGGCCTTCGCAATGACACATTTCTGTACCTCATCCTTGCATGCCATGGTGCCCTTCGGGAAGATATCGTATGATGCTTTCGCGACAGAGATAACAACTTTCTTCAGCTCCATGCGAAACGTAAATAGATCATCACAGAGCTGACAGTAAAGATATAAGTTTATAGTACATCCATTAATGAGACACTTACCAGCCGCGACATTTGTGTCATGTACTGCGGGAAATAGCCTAAGAAGCAAGATGAGATTCGCAAAGGGGGTCAGGCAATGTGAGGAACCTATTTACCATTGTCCAATTTGATCTTTTTTTCGTGGTACATCCACAATTCAGCGTCAAAAACTTCTTGCGCAAGTTGTAGCGCCTCTCGATGATCTGGAATGGGATGTGTTAGAACAGCCTGCAGACACATTTCTAACTTTGCTGCCTGCAAAAATGCTTGCCAGGCAGGTGGGTAAAAGCCGAGCTTTGCGGGGTCCTCTTGGACTGTCTTGGCCTTGTGCTTATTTCTGTATGAATCTGGCTCATCACATGTAGCACGACTGGAGGAAGTGCTTCGCCTAGATGGAGAATGCCGATGAGGAGACTGCATGCGGGGGGATGCTGAGATACGCGTGTATGAGGTGATGCCGAACGCCGATATGGAGATCTTGAGCGTGTAGAATGGCGAGAGTGCACGTGGGAGGAAGAAGGGCGCATAGACGGGACACGCTGAGATGTATGTCTAGTACGAGCCAACACCAAACGCCGCTATGGAGACCTTGAGCATGTAGAATGGCGAGAGTGCATGCAGGAGGAAGAAGGGCGCATGGACGGGACACACTGAGATGTGTGTCTATGAGGCGACACCAAACACTAGTCTGGATACTTTGAGTGGTTAGAAGTAATGTGAGGTTAGCACTCACATTTAGGAGGTCGCACTAGAGCAGATGACCCAGTAGACACCACATGTCGAGGTGACAGTTGACGAGGAGACTTCGACTGGCTAGAAGCACGTCTGTGTTCAGTATGTTTTGCCTTAGATAGATAAGTTAAGGAAGGAGCCTTGCGCCGTCCATTCTTCATTTGATGACGCTCAAGAACATCAAAAGCTTCCTGAAGAGCGTGTGATAAGATTAACCTCAAGACAAAAATTAAAACACTTTCCTCTGTTTCGTCTCTGGCTGCATTGTCGAGCTCATTGTTGAAATCATCATCAATACCACTGTCCTGAGCGTCAGGTTCGTCCCTCTGAGTGCCAGGCTCGTCATCAAAATCCCCATCAATACCTTGATTGAAATCCCTAAGCATCAGGCTAAACATTGAGATCCCATCATACCTTGATTCAGAAAACCGTCCACAGTATTGGGCTCATGGTCGAAATCTTCCTGAGCTTCACCTTCGTACATGCCATCCAAATCGTCTTTGTGTTGTCCGAAGTCCGTGGTATCACCTGTTTCAAGTGTTTGCTCCTGGTCCTGAACTTTGTCCCTGCATTGGGCACATGTGACAACAGACGGATGAGATAGTAGCAGAAGATGTACCTTTCCTCATTTTCCCCATCAGTTTTGTCCTGGTCCTGGTCATCGTCGTCACCGATACCATGCTCTGGAGCTTGATTTCCAGCCTCCTCCTCACGGGTACGCTCATTAGACCGTGGCACCTTCCGGGTGTTCTGACTGCCAGTCGAAGTGGGCTGCTGAAACCCAAACCTACCTGAAGACTGAGCTGTGCTTGGGGCTGTTCGGAGAGATGCGTCAGAGTGTTGGCGTCCTGGGTTAGGTTGCTGGCGTCCAGGATGGACATTCTTGTTAATACCAACGGAACACTGAGTGAGATTGGAGCTCCCGGTCAGAGACCTTTTAGTAGTAGCCTGAAAGAATGTTAGCTTTTGGGAGTTTATATTAGAACATCAACTATACACACTTTTCTTCAGTTTCCGGAGCTGGGAAGGAGCCATGGGGTTTTCTTCTGCATCACTAATGTCAAGATTGGTCTCCTTCCGACCTTTCCTTGCCGGGGCCGCTAAGAGTCTGTTCGGGCACCCTTGTTTACGCAAATTTGGATTTGACTCACGCAAAATTTTGGCTTAGGTGATTTGCTGGTCACAATGTGACATACATAGATCAATCACAATCGCTGGCATGCCCGTTACTCGAAGACAGTCCATCTATCTACGCAACGCTCACAGGATGTCATGCGGTCGCAAAAGTGCTCGTGGTGGTTTAGAAGCGATGGAATCAAAGGATCGATGTGTATGGACCGAAATGGATGAGACTTTACTCATCGAGTATATCACTGCCAACCGCCTCAAAGGCGGGGATGGCATGAACTTCGACAAGACATTCTGGGTCTCTATTGCTGATAGCATGGCAAACCATGCCTGCTCAGGTGCACCCAAGACACCAATGGCATGTCAATTGAAATGGGCACGGGTGCGTGCTATCTCACTCTCGATCAGTCAAACCTTCACTGATGAACTTCTAGCTCCGAAGTCTATATGACGTAGTCCACAAAGTGGCTAACACATCTGGATTGTCTTACAGCTTGGAGAATGGAGCCTCAATTACCACAGAGTCAGAAAGTATGTGGGCAGACTTTGTCAAGGTATGGCAACTCGACTCTGCACAGCGCTATGCTAATGAGTACTACGTACCAATAGAAAAACCCCAAAGCCAAGAGCCTCAAGGACAAAGGGTGGAAGCACTACGACTCATTGAAGGGTCTCATCCCCATCAAAACTGCAAACAACCACTCCTTTTTCGCCACCGGCATCACACAGCGCTCTAACTTGAACATTGCCAACATTCCCTCACACTCTAACAACAATGCAGTCGCCTCTTCCTCTTTCAATGAAGTCCACATGTCGGATCTTGGAGATGCCCTTGATGGGCTCAAGTTTAGTACCACAGTGCAGGCTGGTCCTGAGTGCGCGACTGTTGTCGCCGACTCAGATCCTCAAATGGGCCCTACCAGTGATACCAATGCCGCAGGGCCCTCAATCTTTGGTGCTTCGCACCAACTCCCACTTGATGCATCCATCTTCCCTAGTGCGCCATCATCGACTGCTTCCGGCAAACGGAAAGCTATCAACGACGACGATAGCACACTCGCTGTTGTCCATCCTGCATATTCAACGAAGTCTGGAGATTCGGGAAAGTCAGCACGCCTGTGAATGCCATTGGCCCTCCAGCAGATGGGGTCTGATATTCGAGGCCTCAATTCAACGTTTGAGCGTGCGACTCATGCTTTCGAGGCCAACGCCTCAAACGCCTCCGCACGATGTGTGGATCCTATTCCCTTACGTAGGCAGAAGGCAGTGGCGCAATTGCAGACTGAGGACTTGGAGGATTATCAGTTGCTCAACGTATTGAATAAGTTTCAGAGTGACATCGCCATTGTTGACATCTATCTCGCTATCGAAGAACCTAGTCTTAGAAAGTTGTTTTTGGACCAGCACTCAAAGTAGTAGCGCGCCCCGATACTAGCATTCAATAGCTCAATGTAATATCACCACATTTCGACGTACAACTATGATAATGTTTCTATGATTGCTTGTGTGCCCCTCCAAACTCTTTCCTCATTGTAAGCTTCCCACATCTCAGCAGCGATACGGTCATGATGAAGGTTTGCATGAGAACGTGCTTGTTCAGTAGGAGGATTATCAGCAAGGCTTCCGGTATCAGTGAGGAGGTGCTCATCTAACATGTTGTGATACTCCATCATGTCGTTTGGATCGTGAACTTGGATGACGTTATGCACAAGGCACAATGCAGGAGGGATGCATACTTGGATTCCCATGGCATACTCTGGCGGAAGGAGAAGTATGCAGAACCGGCGCTTGACAACACCGAAGATGCGCTCAACAATGTTTCAGAGCATGGCGTGACGTAAATTAAATAGCTCTTTGTGGTTGCGAGGTCTATATAACAATGTGAACATAAGTATATGTACTGACACTCGTGGAACACACTTACAAAAGATTGGCCCGACCCCATTCTGCAAGATGGTAGCGCACACCCCGGTATGGGACTAGTAGCTCGTTACATGAGCCAAATCCAGCGTCGGCAAGGTAGTATTTTCCCTCGGGGATGGTGAAGTCAGTAGTGCGGGCGTCATGGTAGAGACAGGCATCTGAAGCGGATCCTCCCCAGCCGCTCAGCATGTAATTGAAGGATAAATTGAAGGAACACGCGGCAAGGCAGTTTTGGGAGAAATTGCCCTTGCGGTCCCAGGCAGCATGGCGATCCTCACTGAAAGGATGGCATGCAATGTGCGTGCCATCAATAGCACCGATAGCATCTGCAAAAAATGGAAAGAACTTCGGGTTTCGAACAATTTCGACAGGAGGAGGGCTGTCCACATCAGGGAGTCGGACATATGTGGTATATATTGGCGGGGAAGAGAATGCAAAGAGAATCTGTTTGAAATATCTTGAAAAAACATTGTGTTAGTGAGTTGCAGGAAAGCGGCAGTGTATGTACTTGGAAATTGTCTTGTTTGATCGCTGAAAGTGTTCACCGATGTGACAAATTGAGAGACCTGTAACAGATGCATACAGGAATATCGCGAGCTGCTCCTCCAGGGGCACATGCTTTGAGTCTCTGCATCCTGCTTGTCAAAGCAGATTGATAAGGATATAGAATACGTGCTTGCGAACTCCGAGCTCGCATCGGATGCATTCTGGATGTCCGGTGAGTAACTCAGTGACCCAGGCAGTCCCTGATAAGGCAGAAGTGTGATATGGCTGTTTATTGTAGTGTGTATTGGAATAGGCCTCGATTGCGGTTGTTGTTGCATTGACCACTGTGATCACCATGTGCAGAGCTTGCATGGTGGCATACATAATCCATGATAGGTACCTTTGAACATCCTCCTCTGCGTTACCAGACCCATTGTCTGGTATGTCTTCTGCCTCGGTCTGGGCAGGGTCGTAATCAACTGAGTCTGTGTCGCAATCAGGATTGTTATGAGGCATCGTGCTGGTAGTACACTAGTAGTAGACGTTATCAGCGTGACAATCTCATTGAAGTTCCAACCATCACCTAAGCCAAAATTTTGTATGAGTCAGATCCAAATTTGCATAAACAAGGGTGCCCAAACAGACTCTAAGGTTTCCCCAGCTTTTCTCAACTGGTCTGCATGTCCACCTTGGCCTCGCGTAGATCTCTCACTTCGTCGAGTACCCTCAGAGACTTCGTATGAGCGCCTGGCCCTCTTCTTCGGAGGCATTGAGTGACAAGGTGGGAAGTGTCGAGATTCTAAAACCTGTTGCCACCAATTAGTACCCAGAGTCGTATCACATAAGCTGATGCTTGACGTACTAAACTAGCACAACAGAGTACGTGTACAGGTACAGTATGACTCCGAACGTAATAATAATTAGAGGGTACAACAAGTTGCGTTTTGATAGTGGGAGTTGAAGGATATTAAGAAATACGAGAAGGATAAGAGACTTGAGAATTGTGAGAAGACAAGAGGCTCCAGAGTCCATAATACAGAGCGCCAGCACTCGGAAAGAGGATTGTGGGATGACACGTACAGAAAAAAAAGTTCAGACACCTTCTCAATGCCTCCTCCGAGTCGTCCGTTTTTTTTCGTGGGGAACGAGACGATAAAGGCTTGGAAAGTGCTGTAGAGGGTATCGGAGGATCTACTAGTGATCTGCTAAGACAAGCAGAACGACACGGTGAAGGCTCAGATGGCCCTGCTGGGGGTGTGTGAAGGGCATGGGATGCTGATGTGCGGGAGTGAAGACTCTGGGATGCTGCTGTGCCGGGATGAAGACTCTGGAGTTGTCCTAAAGGAGGTGGTTCTTCACCAATAGATCTCATGAATATATCAAGTAGGTGGAGGACTCCAGAGTGGGTCATCTCTACCTGATTTTGGGGCACGTTCACACCGTAAACCATGGTGCCCCATTTCTGCACAAGAGGTCGGAATTCCGCGAAGTATTCGGATGTCTTGGTGACCAAGAATCTGCCTTGCATCAAAACCCCCATTTTTGCGAAACAGATCGTACTCAGAGCCAAATGGGTATCTGCATTGCCCAAAGCTTCATAAGCGCTCGCCCACGGCAAAGTCTGCCGGGACCAGGTGGGTGCCAATTGGCCATGTGGCCCCCCATACTTAGCAACAAATTCGAAGAAAATATAGAATAAAGATTCGAGGTCATCGCTGGGCTGGTGTTCGATTAGATCCGTATCGAAGTCGACATTCTGCAGAGCACTGGTAGCCTGCAGAGCACTGGTAGCCTGCGGAACAAGGTCGACGTTGTTGTCCACCTTGGAATCGTCCACATTGTTCGTATCAGCATCCTGGCCTGGGATGTTGGCGTCAACCTCAAGTGGGGCTAGATCCAGCATAGCCTGAAGAATACGGATAGAAATATAGGGCATGGTCCCCTGAAAAAAATGAAATGAACAATGAATAGCTAAAATGTATACCGAAACTTACTGTACCATGCGAATAGGTGCTAGTCGTGCCTTCCGCCAGAATCGAGGCGTGATCGAAATCAATGAAGTAACCGATACCGTCATGGACAACAAAATTATTAGGACTGAGGTCCCCATGCAAGACTCACTTCTCAATCATCATGTGATGAGCTGAAAATAAAGGTCGATACAAGTATTTTGCATGCTCAATAAGACTCACCAACTACAAAGGCACGGAAGGCGGTGAGCAGTTCTCGTCTAGAGCTGAATTTAGATAATGGCTCTCCACAGGGGGACAAGAGAATGCGGTGGTGGAATCTGTTGCAGAACATCAAGTTGTCCCAATGGCCCATGTCGTATTGGCTGAGAATGTGCGCTGTGCAGTCAGGCTCCCCTTCATAATACACGTCCCAATGGTCTACGAGTTCGACAATGTTAGGGATGCCCTTGACCATCTGCAGGATAATTGTTTCGTGCATTCTCTTCTCCTCTGTCACCCAACAATCTTTTAAAGTGTACTTATTCCCTGCCTCATCAACGACACAATAACAAACCGTTCCACGACAGAAAAGCCCATGGCTCTTCCACAGAACCTCCATAATGGAATACATTTTGTCGTGGTTGTCCTTCACCCAGCCCTTCGCCTTGGGTGCTAAATTAGAATGAGTTCCTGTGCATGCAGCGTTACACATGTGGATCGTCGGATCGAAACCCAAATGGTGAGTATCCGATAGAGTGAGGGTGCTCAACATCTCTGTGAGTCGCACAGGGCCCATGTTTTGATGAATGTGAAAGGGATGGGATATGATGAGACCGGAGCGGTCAAAATAATGTGCACAAAGCTGATTGGCACAAATCGAGAACCCAACAATGAATCGACGCCATGGTTGTTCTCTCAGCATTAGGTAGGCTTTGGTCGTAGATCCCCAAAACACTGGTATATCTCGCTTTTTAGCAAGATCACTGGAGGTATGCTCCATGAAGGACAGGACGTCTGCCCATGTCTTCCCCATGTTTTTGATGGCGAAGTCAAACAGGGCTATGTCGGGCTTCTGGCAGTTGTATTCGTCTGGGATAGGAGAGGTGGAGAACTCTGCAGACCAGTACCGGGACCCAGCCGGTATGTTGAAAGGGAGGTGGTGTTTCAGTTTGTGATGCAGGTGATACTGGATGGTGTAGAAGAGACGTTGAAACTCTTTTTCAGTTGTCACGGGCACCTGCCTGTGTCTTTTCTTCAATCCAGAAGGCTGGTACTCTTGGGAACTCCATGTTTCTGTTTCAGATTGGCCATGGATCACCAAGTCAAAAGAGGGCTCTACGCCAAGCACTGCACCCTCGATCTCTGCATTGTCGATATCCATATCACCATTGTCCATATCATCATCCTCTGCATCCTTGTTGTCTGTATCATCATCCTATCCTCATGCTCTGTGCCACTGTCCTCCGTACCGTCATCTTGTCCATACTTTGCGCCACGAGTACGTTTGATTCCTTTTCTCCTGCGGTGGAATTTCCATTTTTCTCCAGAGTATGCAGATGGTCCTGTTTTGTTGTACTGGATTGTCTTGATCTCACTTAATTGGAGAGTAGTTTTTATCACAAGATTATGAAAAATGGAGTTCTCCAATGGTATTCTGGCACCCCTTCCAACACCTTCATGAATCAGGCGGTTTTTCAGCTCTTGCCTAAGGAGAGCTTGCGTAGTATCTAAGGTGCATGGGCCAGAAGGGACACCAACAGAGCTTATTGTTGCGTAGAGCAGGAATTTGTCGATGTCGGATTGCCGGGAGGACATAGATGACAGCATTGTCCGAGTCAGGTGGGAGTCGACGCTCAACTTGTCGTTCAGGCATGCAACTACCAATTGGGCAGTGTCCGCAACTCCGCGCACGCTCTTTATCTGTTATGATAATGGATCAAAACATACGGATCAAAATTATCAGAAAACATCTCTGAGCACTATTCTATGTATCTATCCGTTGTGAAGCATGGTAAAGTGCATAATAAAGCTGCTTGTTGAAGTACTTGTTCAAGAAAAAGGACGAGGAATAATGTGCAGAAGTCTCCTTTGTCAACCACGCGTCCGCTGCAGCTCCCAGCTCAGGTATTATGCTGATAAAGGTACACATTTGCTTGAGAGGAACTATGTTACCTACTGGAGTACCATCCCCATGCTTAGCATGCTTCAATACATGCATCCCAGCGGTAGGATGGACTGCGCCAACCTTCAGGTTATGCACATAGCATAGATACTGATCTCGCCAAGTGATATGAGAACCTCGTCGGGCCATTGGGCGGATGATAAGCTGGACTTCACAGATGGCATGCCCTTCCAAGGAGTCACATTTCAGCCAGATTGATAAGAATGGAAAAGGATTCACCCCTTAACCCTGACTGGGGCCACTCATACTCTCTATCGACATTGATAAGGACGGCGTCTCATTGGCCTTTCAGCCACCCGGGACATGGTGGAGAGGCATGCAAGGTTTGCGCTGGTAAGATGACACATGGATCACGGAAGGAAACTTCCTGCAAGTGAACTGTGTGCCAAACTTGCACGCAATCAAAAGGCAGAGTAGAAGGACGGTCGATTAATGATCTTCTTGAGATTCCAACCCCATGAATCACATCTCTGTTCCTCGTGTCAAGTCGCAAGAAGTTTGAAATAGCATCACGAAGATCCGGTATGTTGAACTCGTCTGCGACATCGTCAATTTTCATTCCAGTGCGAGTTGGACTATAATTTAGATGGATAGCGGTATTACCAGCAGTAAACATTCGAGGAGGGTGAGGGCTAGGTCCACGAGGTACAGTAGCCACCTCCTTAGCTTTGAGGAAGTAGTTAGTAGTAACACGTGTGCGATTAAGCCCCTCCAGGAGTGCAGTTCGTTGATCAGTAGACGGTTCTTCAAGCTCAGCAATGTCTTCATCGTCTCCCTCATCCATGGGTAATTCTTTGGGGTCTGGATCAAGGACACCACTCTTCAACGTCATAGCAATCGCAAATCGCCACAGCTTGTCCTGTCAATCTAAATGATGGCAAATCTGAGGGTCATAATCATTATTGTTAGTTTGTTGCTCAGGTTCCTTGATTTCGGATACATGCGCATGTTCAGTGGCGTCCGCAGACCACTGGATGAGGGCTCCAACTTTACGTGTGCTGGCAGTGATGCTTTGCATTAACTCTAGCTTAGGTATATACCAATTGTTGATCGTCTTCTTCGTACTGGTCCATGCGCCCAACGTCATAATAACATCTTTGTTTTGATGAAAGGTTGAAAGAGATTGGTCAATAGATGCCAATAGATTGTCATCTGGAGAAGGGGATTGTGACATATACCGGACGTCCATAAGGGCACGGATCGCAATCACAAATTGACGAGGGGCTGCACCGACAATGAGACCGACAATGTAACGCTGCAGATCACGGTGAACTCTGCCCGTAACTTGCTTGAGCTTCATTATTCCGCCAGAATAGTGACGATAGCCTGTGACTGGCTGCAAAATCGAAAATCGAGTTCTTGAGCTCCAAGAACTGCAATGCACCACTGAAGGTCATGATCGAAAAATTGCTTATGCCAGTGATGCAGAGCCTCTGGAGTTAGAAAGACTGAGGGGCAAGCAAACGGCCAATCTTGCCAGAAGGGCGCATGGACACCATTTAGACGATATATGGTGCATGCATCAAAATAACCTTCGGGGTCATTGGGATCAACGTGTATCTTGGCGAGCTGATCGAGAGTGATATGGCGTGTACGTTTGGAGTGACGAAAATTGTCCCCAAACTCCAGATATGATGCCATCATAAATGGGGAGGTTTTCCCGCGTACGCACACAAGCATACATGCCTCCGGGGTATCAACAATGTATGCTGCGAGGGGCGTATAGCAATGGCGAACATTTACAATGGGATCAGACATCACTATCCCGATTTCAGCCGCAATCATCAACAGCTTTAAGACGATAGAAAGACATTGATGTATGAGGCAGTCTTCGAGAACACCTCGCATCCGTTGATTAGAGTGTAAGTACTGCGGGATAGGGAGGAGTGCTGTGAGTAGGAAGGCCCTGGATGAGAGCTTCATGCGAGTTTGCATGTGGATATTGGCAAGACCGAGAAGAAGCGGATGAGCAACTCTAGCGCCAGTCATAGTGGTGATATTTGTTTTGTCGGAGGAAAGGATTGTACCAAGAATTGTAGCGCCTCTGGGTACTTGACTCTGTAGCCCTATGTAAGACAGCGCATGTTATGGGGCTCAGATACATACCTGGAACTCCCAAGAAAAATCCCCTGTCAGCCACTCCGAATAAACGCAGGTAAGCCATGCTGCGGTCGTGTACACGCGACGAGGGACAAAATCAAGCTTGTCATGGAAAAGGGGGTTGCTGAAGAGGGCTTCTAAGCATTCAACCGGATCCCTCCAAAAAATTCGGATTGGAGTTTTGGTGCGATGGAGAGATGGGATAATTTGACACTTCCAGCTTGGTCCCTTGGGTAGCATCTCGGCTCAGCTTCGCAATTCTTTAGCGGTACTGAATGAAAGCTTCAATCCGCGGATCTGTAAAGTAAGGACGTGATCAGTAAAAGTGCGAGAAGGATATTAAGAAATATGAGAAGGATAAGAGACTTGAGAATTGCGAGGAGAAAATGCTCCAAAGTTGTGAGTCCATAAGATCTCAAAGCGCCAGCATTCGTGAAGAGCACTCACTATTGGGAGCGCTAGAAATTCATTGATTGCAGCCATACTAAGGGGAGAACGAAGAAGAAAATCAGCAATTTCCCATTCCTCTTTTGATGCAAAAGGATAGAATAAATTATCCTTTCTGTATTCTGCATACTCGTCCGCGTCAAAAAGATCCAAGAACGTCAGGCCGTCTTGAGAGTAACGAGTCCCTGCATCTTTGTACTGTTCCTCCGCACTCATGGATTCCTCTCCCTCTGTCTCGAAGAAGTCGACATTGAAATGCGAAGGGTATGCGTCCAAATTTATACAATGGTAAAGAATTGGATCGGGGGACCGCCATAATTGTAGAATTGACTCTGCAAACTGAGAAATGTCCACCATGTCACAAATAGAACTATGACACGATGATCGAGGCTGACTGAGGTGACGAGTGATGCTGGACTCCTTGCTGAATACTTTCCCGCATTTCGGACATGATATTGACATGGTTATTTGGAAGGAAAGATTTGTTCACATGCTTCAAGTGCTCACACACGCTTAAGACTTATCTTTGCTCGTACACCCACCATAGTATGATATATTTACATATGATGGATGATTCTGTAACTTCATCTCCAAGCTCTTCTGTAGTCTCATCTTTGTCCCGCAATTCTTCTTCAAGAACTCAGTCCTTGCGCTCATATAGTACTCGCTTCAAGTATCGCCTCCAAAGACCTTACGATGCGACATCAGTTGGACACCGCACGTCCTGCCAAAGTCTCTCTCCAAACAAAAGTTTATCTTCTCAAATGGGATCATGTGCTATTAAAGACGAGCCCAGCTTATCCGGAGGCCTGCGGTGTGTGAGTTCGTGCGTCCGGTGTTTCATCTTCAATTGTTCTTAATCATTGCGCATAAGGACCTCGACCACCCATTATTCAATCAACCAGATGAAGAAGACCACTCTGATCTTGCACTTGAAGCAGCTCAAGCAAAATGTAGGATTTGTCAAGCCCCAAAAGACCTCGCAGACAGCATCTTGGAGCACCACATAGTACTTACTAACCTCCATCGCCGTCGTGTAGAAGCTGCGAACATGCAATTATTGATGGCTGACCTTGACGTTGGATGCATGCACATAGAGCGGAGGAGAAATGGTATTCCAACGTTTATTGGGCGCAGGGCTGGTGGTACAAGTTAGACTAGTGTTGATACATACTTGTATTACGTGCATAATCTGTATTGCTTGTACACTCTGTAGTCCTTGTGGTGCTTGTCCGCCTGTTTGTTTGTGCTTAGCGGCTCCAAATTTTGAATTGCTTGTACATTTGTAATACCTTGTATAGTTTGTATAGACTTGTTGTTCATGTGAAACCTGTCACCAAATTAGTAGTTTGCTGATGTTGTGACATTATAATAGTTATATCACCCATTGGCAAGACTGCCACACATACTTGGGCCGGCTCACATACATCAGGAAATTAACCTTAAGTTGATATGACCAGACAGGATTGGTAATTAAAATACATTCTTGCATGTCATTTTTTAACCTTAGATATTTTTATCATGGTCCTACGCATAGGTAAAGTAAGATATGACTATGCAAAAGAAACATCAACTTGATGTGTGTCTTGGAAACAGACAACAGGGAGATAACTGCGCACCCATGCACTGTAATTGAATGACTGCATGTCATCACATTTACAGTAGATAGATAATGCACTGTAACCTTTTTTAAATTGTCAGATATGTCTTATCTAAATTGAATACAAGCCACAAAAGCTACAATTATGACAGCCCATTTGTGACTACATGTCTGGTCCTTTCGCATTTCCAGTAACCTTATAATGTGTTGTGACATTTTTTAAATAATGAGATATGTCTTATCTAAGTTGTATACAAGCTGCAAAAACTAGAATTATGACGGTCCACTCGCAATTACCTGTCTGGCTATCATGACATTTCCAGTGGATATATAATGTGGTGTGACATTTTTTAAATAGTGAGACATGGGTTATCTAAATTGCATAGAAGCTGTGAAAGTTGCAATCATGACGACCACTTGTAATTACCTGTATGGCCTTTTCAGATTTCCAGTAAACTTATAATACATTGTGACATTTTTTAGATAACGGGATGCATTTTATTTAAATTGTATACAAGTTGCAGAAACTACGATTATGATAGTTGCTCGACAACATTGTAGCGAAGGTATACAAGCGACGCAAAATTTCCTGTTGACATACGCACAGAGCTCACGGATCTCCAGCCGGCAATGAAGTTATGCCAAGACGTGATAAATATTCAAGGAACGTGCTCAAGTTGAATATTTTGCTATGGTACACGGTTTCACATGAGCTTCACGTTCCCGCCACCACCACCTTACTCGTTATCGGACAGACTGATTTGCTTCGATCATTTTGGGATACATCAGGACGTAGTAGTTTACAAAAAGATCTGATTATGAGTTAGTTGAGCTGAGATATAAGGACGTTGCAAAAAGAAAAAGTGTTCGCAAGTCCAGCGGGCTTACAGAAAGCAGTGGAAATGAGGAAAATGGACACGGCCACCATATAATTTGATGATGGTGATGTGCGGGTATTCATGAATGTACATTCTCTAGGTGAGTTTGCATCCAGTGATCTTAACTAGATATTCAAGGAGTGATTAGTGGTTTGACTCATGTGAAGTAACACGTGCAACACACCAGAACCATCAGGCTGCCCAATAGCGTACAACATCTCCATTGGGTGGAACGCGAAAGACGTATGCCTAGGGATATAAGGCGTCGGAGGTCGAGAGAGATACGCGTTGAGGCCCGTTGGTAGTAGGCTAAGTGTGGAGAGTAACAATGAATCTGATATAGAGTGTACCATAAGCCGCTGGTGCCTAAAGTTGGCAGGAGTAAGAGCAGATGTTCTGCAACCTAGTCAGCCAACCATTTTTCCTAAAACAGAGTCGCACTTACGTGGCAAACACGCCCGTCTGTGAATGTACATTGAACGCAGACAAGCCCATATGGTGTAAGTCCCAAGCCTGAATCGCTGTATCAGAGCCTCTCAAATCCCACAGACGGACTTCACCAGCGAGGCTGCATTTATGTGAATCCCAGTACACACATTATACGGCTTCAGCTCACCTTCCAGACAAGAACTGACCACTGATGTGCAGGTGGTATTTGACATTCTGTACCCATGAGTGATGGTCATGATACGATCTAACCATAGCATCCTCTTCCTCTAGTCGACGATCGAAAATTTTGACCAGGCCATCGGCAAAGCCAATAATGAATGTGGATGACGAGCCCTGATCAGATGTGATAGACGTCACAGGACTCTCGCAATTAGTTTCTAGATCCTTTGAAGTCATGAGTAATTAGTCCTCACTACGAGGTATTGCCCTCTTACCAGGACTTGAGTCTCCGTGTGGGCATCCCATACACGGATGATACGAGAGTCGCCCCCAACCAGCAGCGTGCCACCAGATTGTTTCCAATCTAGCACGAGGAGAAGTCTCTTGCAACGGCACTGAGAATGAATGTGCACATAGCCTTGTGTTCACTGCTGTTAGGCAGCTCATTGTCTTCCTGCATCGCCAGCACATTCACAAAGTACTTGAATCCCCCGGTATTGTATATGTCGACTTGAACACTTGGATCTACTGCAAGGATGCGTGTCCATATGAAGATCAACACCAGATGCAGATCCTGGCCTGCGGCTTGCAGGAGCTTAGATACATATGGGAAGATTCCAATGGTGAGCACAAGGTTGACGGCCCAAGGTCCGAGGTCTACAAATTGGGAAAGAAGAATCAGGGCCCGAAGTCTATGGGGCTGCGAGAGCAGCACTTGCAGGACGATGGGGAGCTGATTGGGGGGTTTACGTGGGACAAGATCAGCATCAGGGGCAGTGGTTCCATTTACAACATCAGGTGTGTCACAGTGATCCCCGCCGTTCTGGAGAGGTAGTGACAGAGGACCACGCTTTGTTAGTGCAGAACCACCGCGTGAAATCCACACCTCGAACGCAGTGAGCTGATCGGTAAAGAAGTGGCTCGGGATATATTGGTAGGGTTTCTCGGTGTTTGGAGCACCAGATGATCCACACTGACCACTGTGTCCCGAGTGCATGCCTGTGCTGATAATGGGACTTGGGGGACTATTGGGTGCGCCTGGACTCTTTGTGGGAAGTTCAGGCAGTTGGCATAGACATGTGTCCAGAGCTAAATCCCATGCAGCCCAGAGTTGGTGAGTGTTTGTGGCTGCAAGTGGAGGGTGTGTGTGGGGGGTGCAGTGGTAGTTCTTCATGATGCACTCTGCGAGTAAGCGGAGCGGTACAGCCGCATGAACACGTCCCGAGGGAACGTGGTCCACGCAATGGTGTCTGTTATGGCGGTGAAAATTCAGTTGAGCTCGCCAAGAGGTGTCCGACGGTCCTTGAGATCTCCTGGTAGCTGCATGACCATGTCGGGGGTGATGTTATTTGGTAAATGATGGGTCATGATGAAGTATCGCAGCGCGTCAACTTGCGTCCGGTGGCAAATAAAATACTGTCCAGCAGGGCAGCCACGGTAAGAACACCTCCGACGATAGCACAAGTACTATATAGGTAGAGTGAATAAGAGATATGTGAGTGGGTATAATGTCACTTACGAAGTGAGGAAGTGATCAAACGACTGCCTCATTTCAGAGTGCACGACAAGGATGGGTGAAATTTCAAAGTTGAAGTATGCACCTGAAAAAAAATGTATTGAAAGATCAATTGATGATCCATGCTCTCAACGTACCTGGTGCGCCCGCGACACCGTGTTGAGTAAACACGCCTTGCTTGTTCATTGAACTGCGTCAGATCACGTTCAAATTGCGTTGAACTATATTGGTGCGTGATGATCTGCATTATTGAAGCAATCAAGTTGTGCGGCCAGTTTGATTCATGTACTCACAGTTTTGCCTTCCAGTGTGCATAATTGTGTTGATACGACTTTGAGGAAATACTGGAACATGTACACCGACTTGTTCGTCTGCGATCATGTAAGCAGAAGAATTAAGAACCATGCAAACGTCAGCTAACTGCATGCTTCAGCCTCCCAAAAACACAAGATATGCATCTACGCTGTTCGGAATCACTGATACAACGGCGAGAATTTGCAAACAGAACCCACCTTGAAACATCTGCCTGCTTTGGCCTTGTCCCTTCACTCTCTGAATGCACACCCTCTTTCTTGCCAAATCTACAGATTCCGTGAGCACTAGGGAAATGTTCTACATATGAGCGACACTTGCAGTTAGATATAGCTCCTGACGTGAACGATGTCACAACCGCGTACTTCTGGGATGTTTTATATAGTTGTTATGAATATTTTCATTGGTGGTGGGCGGCCAGACGACGGTCTGGAAGGGCTTCTTGAAGGTCATGGCTTCGTCTGTGATGCCGCTCTTGACGCGCGTGGTGGGGTGGCTGTGAATTGTATCAGAGTACGACGGTCCAACTGCCATTTGCGGAATATTCACCGTTTTGCTGTATCTCCTTCCTACATTTATCAAAGAATAACTTGAGCTATGGGTAAACAAAGACCTGTGAGTAACTTACACGTCTCAGGTTGACTTCCACTAATTCATACTAACGTTATTGTCGGTTCCCAACGAAGGGGGAGGAGGAAAAGGAGATACACTGTCGAGTGATTAGATTGAGGCAATCAGTGGTGAATAAACGGTACGTACTCCACATGCTGCGTCGGCTTGTATTGACATTCGCGATCCAAGGGAGGGGGAGAGGCAGGTGAAGAATATGTGTGGCAGGAAGCCTAAGTATGGGCCCATGACGAAGAGCTTTGATATCACCATCCTCACTCCTTCCCGGTGAGGACAATCGTTGGAGAACCCCGATACCATACCCAGCTGTATCACAAGACTTTCTTGCCATTAAATTAATGCTTGATATTTTTCAGACTCTACTAAATGTTAGAATATCGTAACAATACGACGTCAGATGATAGATCAGTACGTCTTGAGGTGTTCTGAGAGCGTTGTAAAGAGTCACAAGTACAATACACAAATAAAGATTGTACCGTAGTCAGTGTCTAGCCCAAAAAACTGATATGGCTATCCAGAGGCAGTTTCCAAGTATAACGGTCTCCGATGGTATCTGTCGCGTGAATAGAAGTCTGAAGTGCGTACTCGACTGCCAAAGCGGTCAGTACATGAAGCTATAATAGAAGAGTGGTAGTGATTAAAAAGGACGTGTTGGGGTGGGGAGTTGAGTCCCCGGTCCTGTCTTCATCTTCCAGCTAGTGTTCTGGGGGCTTGTTGTGATCCCGGCCCGTTGTCTTAATGGTTCTCACTATTCTGTTCAAGTGCTCAATCAAATAATGGCCTGCATTGGAAGTCATGCTCTCACCGAATCTCAGTACTCCCTGATTATCTGCCAAGATGGACGCTGAGAAGGACACCTGTTGTTCCGTGGCGAGCAGGTGTAGCTTCTCCTCGCGTTGTTCTTCCAGATCAGATTTGCGTGCCTGTAAACCTTCGTCGTCATCCTGATCGTCTAATTCAACAGAGTAAGTTGAGCTAGCAGGATCCTTTAAGGAAGGAGCTAATCCAAAGGTATCCTCTCCATTGATCTGAGTATTAGAAGGGCTATCACAGTCATTGTCGTTATCGTCATCCGCTTCGTCTTTGGTCGGTTTATGATAGACCGCTGGATTGACAAGGAGTCCAACATACAGACGAAACTACGAGAAACTGTAAGGTTCGCGCAAGCACAAAAACGAAATAACTACCTGGTCCCAGAGGTGGCCAACCCCAGAAGTGACTGGCGGCCAAGTGCGATTGACCCAAAAGTCGTTCGCAGCATGAAAGAGGCGATCCACATGAGATATATTCCTAGCAAATGAAAAAAAAATTATAATGGCATCGTATGGGCTCGTCTCGTATGCTATATCAAGCCGCAGGTATTCAACCTAAACCCAACACCCAAACAGATCACCATCAATGAAAAGGGCAGTAAAAAAACACGAACCGGTACACTTCAACCCGAGCATCCCATCCCCCGAACCCCAAAGCAATTCTCCTGCAGGATAAATTCTTGCATCAGTAAACGGAATATACCCCCCATCAGGGTATGTATAATCGGAACTCACCAATTTGACAAACACGAAGACTTTGAAGCTGGAGGAGGTATCTGGTTTGGTCAAAATGATGAGCGAAACTCACAGGAGCCAGGTGGTGGTACAGACAGCACTGTCAAGTCGTGTCATATCTTGCATAGAACCATTGCTCGTCCGAACTGATTGCAGTTCATGATCAGGGTGCGATGATAATCGTCTTCAGTTACAGACGACCAGTCGTACGTTCCTATAGGATCGCAAACAACACCGCAATCAAAATGCTGGAATCACTAGCGTCCCCCGGTGCAGGCGTAATTAGAGCTTTTTTACAAGAGATTCCAGATCACACAATTGGGAAACGGGACGATCAGCTTGCAAGTGAGGAGTCGGTGAACAATGTGGTAAATATCATCAAGAGCATGAAACAGCTATTTCATGGGACAAGATCATGATGAATAATCGAAGTAATAAAAAATCCGGTGATAAGAGCAACATGAATAAAGTATGATGTACAACACACTGGTTAACTTATGTCAATACAACATTTGGTAGGCATAAATCACATACTAGGTACAAGTGAAATCGTCAGAAGAGCACAGATGCATCGGAAGATACAGACGAGGTCGAACACCAATCTTCGAACCAGTAATCAAACCATTTGGAAGAGTTAGCAGGTAGACATGATTCAAATGTCCCAGCAGTGCCATGAGAAGTGAATGTTCCTAAAGTCATTTTAGTGTGAGACAACCGAAGCAAAAATTGCAAGCAGACCATCATCACTGTACTGAATTCCAGCAGTGCGTGCTATGACTTCAGAAAACATGTCTACTTCAGCTTGTGCACGTTGTTTCTTCAACTCTAGAATAGAAAAATCAGACTTGAGTGCATCTGGCATTTTGTTCTTCTTTGCTTTGAAGCTTTCAGTGTTGTCGATGCGTATGGACTTGGAGTCTGCAGAGGATGTGGTGATATAGGTACGATATGTGACACGACCAAACCAAGCTTGCATCAGAGGGGAAAGAAAGTCATTGTTGTGCTGCATAGCGTCAGAACTGTGAGTCCCTCCAAGTATAAATAGCACTCACCCTCGAAAGGTGTTCATAAAGCTCAGGAACTTCGTGAGCTTGTGGGAAATCCACTTCAAATTGCCATGACGTGGCAAGCCATGCTTCGCATTTTTCTCAAGTAGCATTTGAAAGCTCGAATTGATCGCAATCGACTGGCAAAAGATCGATATTGGCCAGCTGTATCACTTGGGATGCGACCAGATCCTCTTCAGCCTTCTGTACGAGCTGTGTCCTTGACCATGTAGCTAGAAATAAATTTAGAGTAAGGCATCATTTACAAACAACGTGGCTCACATGGGCAGCATCTGGTCTTCAGCTCTTCACATAAGTTCGCAATGGCTTTACTGAACAACAAGACCTCCAGCTGAGCTCGATACATCCTCTCTTCCATTAAAGATTGCCCTCCTCGCACAAGGAATGTAAAAATAGTGTTTTGTTCTTTCAGTAGCTGTCTCTCTATTGCGGCCACCCTGAGGCTCACTTGGAGGACAGCTATAAGATCAAGGGGGTCAACCCATCCAAACAACACAGAGGTTGTGGCAAAAAGCGGGTCTGGAACCTAGAGTGGTGTTATAAGAGAAAAAACAGGATGACAGATATTTAAGTGGACTGACAATTTCATGTCCTTGAGTCTGGAGCCAATATTTGAGGGTGTGCTCGGTATGCTCGATTGCAAGAAAGTGCCTTGTTGAAGGCGCGAAGGATGCGGATGCAGAAAATAACCCTGAACTAATATTTAACATGTTGAAGTGGTGGATGAGTAGCAAAGAGGCTCGAGGGAAACTCATACAATTATCGAGGGCGGAGTATTCAGCGCTGGCCAGCTAGCGGTGGCTGTGCGCTGGCAAAATTTATTTCCAATAGCCAGCGATTACGTCACAAGACTGCGATTTGTACAGGAGACCATGCAGTTCAATCGAAGATCCTAACATGACATTCTCGAGTGTTAGCTGTTTTTGATGTTACATTAAAGAATGTAGGCTCATACTTGCATTCACAGAATTCCCATTGCTACACGCTTTAGCACCTGCTGTGCTTGAGCATCTAAATTTTCGAACCAGGTCACAACACAGAGCCCGATGTGCATTTCAAACCGACCAGTACAAGATATCCGAAGTATAGAATCTGACTTATTCGGAGTACTTAGCCGCGGGTGATCCTGCAGACATCATCCTTGCTGCAGGTTGCATCCCCATCAATCAGTAGTGCAAAAATGAATTCAACTCTGGCAACTCACTTGATGTTGCACATGCTTGCAAGCACCTCCAGGAGGTCTGGGTATGCTGGGTCGTTTGTCTGTGCGAGCAGATGCAATAGGCACGCCAGCACTTCTGCATAGATAGTAGAGGCTGGGGGAAATGTCGCCATCATGATGTTGACAGGCAGCCCCAAGGTTCTCATTGCCTTGATCAACTCAATGAGCCGAGCCAAGAGGGCGCTGTACCACTAAATCAAAGCAACAGATTAAAGTGAGTGAGAGTTCGATGAAAATAAGCTACTTATGATAGTGAGGAAAAACGCTACCATCTCCATGGGTGGGAGTTGGGCGGTCAGGAAAATAGCTGGTTCCTCGTTGCTAATCACGACTCGTCTACTAGAAGTTGTGCTGGCGCGGTAAATGAAATAATAGATCAGCGACTTGATAATCTCGTGTTCCAGAAGCCACTTTAAGCTATTGGCCTGCATGATAATCAGATGTTGATACTCAAGGCAGCTCAAAAGACTGACTGAAATGGGGAGTAATGCAGACTGTGGGGTCATAAAGCGCCTCAAGAACCCCACACACTTGTTCGCCAATAGGCTTGGGTCTGCGGCCACCGTGTCATGGAGGCCGAAACCAAATGCTGGTCTGGTGTCCATGATAGCCAATTTGGCCACGCGCTTCGCCTCAGAAGTGAATCCTGTAAGCCATTTTGCGGCCTGTTCTAGGTGAGACAAGTCAATTGAAGCGTGGATAACATATTATTGCCAACATTTCATCTGTTGTGATGATGGTTACCCCATCTTTGGATATAACTGAAAGAGTCAGTGTGTGCAGAAGAAGGTATTAATTCAACAAGCTCCTAACCTTGTTCCAGATCCTTGCGATCTATGCCAACTGCGATAAGACTCTGCTCGAAGAGCATCTCGAAAAATTGTATCCTTTGGTCAGTATAACTAGGTTGTGTGAGTAAAAATGGATTTTGAGCCCCCCCGCAGCAAACCTCGACTTTCATCTTGAGCCGCAGGCAGACTAGGGTGTCCCTCCATAGCGGATAATCTTGGAGAATCGTATGCAATGTGTCTGCATGGACAGCAGTCTCGGGCGCAACTGGTTGCGGTGCACCATCATCGTCTACCTGGATGCTGCTGGCATCCATAGCCGATGACATGATCCACGACTCTGGTGCAGAGTCCATAGGAGAGCGGAGGTTTACAGAAGAGCCCACGGGAGACTGTGGTGCGGATAAATACACTCCTGGCACAACCGAAGGTTGTTCGTGTGATGAAGTTAGAGGCTCAACCATTGCGAGAGTATTATCGGCCATCTCCTGGTATAAAGGTGAACACATTACAGGGCGAAGGAGGATTAGAGAACATACCTGTGCGAATTCGATCTCTGGTGATGCTGAAAGGTTCGCGGTTGCACTGAAAAGATCTGAGAATTGCGCCAATGAATAGTTATATTCAGGCGAAGAAAAGGAACCAGGTGAGGAATAGGAACCAGGCGGGGAAAAGGGAGCAGACTGGAAACAAGAAGCAGAAGCGGACACAGGGACGTATCCCATGGGATAATCGGCGGAATAGGCAAGTGTCTTGTACTTATTCCCCTTATCTGCGTTATCCTGAGGCCAAGGTATCATTAGGCGAGATCACTTCAATATTGTGAAACGAGCTTACCCATCAATAGACTCAATGGATCTTGTTGGGCCCTTGTTTGTACCAGGCGATTTCCCAGTCTAATGTCATCGCGGGGCCACGGCGCTACAGGACTAATCAGTGGAAAGGCAAGACATAGTCCTGGTGCAAATTCATACATCGATGTAAATGGGAACCTCTTTGCCTTGGTTGTTGAGTTCATAAGCGGGATTGTGGTCTTGAGTGCTTGTCACCAAATAATCAAGTAATGTAATTTCGAGCTTGAGCTACAGAGAACATCAGCGTATAATCCCCAGAAAATCAGCCACCTACAGCATCGAGCCTATGCCTGACGCACTGCATGCCAATGATGAGACACCCCAAGTCTTCAAGAAATAGGATCCACCTACATATAGTGGGTAAAGGATGGGTCGTGGGGGTATCGCCAGGTATCCCGCAAAATGGAACCCTTCACTTCCACCAATGATACCTCCCTGAAGGAATTAAGTTAGCAACATTGTTGGCAAGGCAAAAGAACACATACAGCGAGAGGTAAAATTGTTGGATGAGTCTCGCCGAAAAAATAGCAACTGACATTCTGAGGTTCCATGGTGTTAAACACAGCAAGACGTGGTAAGTTTGATATATGCAAATTTTCACCTTTAAACATAATTGCCTACCTCATGTCCCAGTTCTGTTCGCTTGCGAATGCCTAGATTGACTGCTAATCCGGCGGAATTCAGTTTTTGGATAATAAATGTACTGAAAGGGGCAAAATATGTATAGTAGCGCGAGTGGGATAGCGGTAAGAGTCACATTTGCGTCAAATTGTAACTCGCCTACAGTAGCGGCGACATGTCCGCTGAAAGGCACCGCAAGGCCTGGCTATAACGGATATTTGATGTACTGGCTACATTGGGCGTTATCCCAATATTTTCATGAACTAGTTCTCGTAATCTAGATCAACTTCACTATCGTACATCTGATCGAATTGTTCTAACAACGATTCATTGCTGGAACTGAGCAACCCTTCGATATCCAGTCCATCCTCAGTGCCATCATCTTCGTATTCATATTCATCTACTTCCACATTGTTTGCAGGTTCTTCAACACCATCAGTCAAGGAAGGCTGTAACGATGTGCTTGCGTGTTGAGGCCCAGCCTGCGTAACACGATAGTGAGAGTACACATGCCCGACACCAAGCCCAAAGTGAAACCACATAAGCATGTCGCGGTCTACAAACCTGACACAATGAACTGAATAAAATGCTGACTTATGATGTGATACGACTGACTCACCGATTGATATAGTATTCACACCAATCATCCTTGTCCTTCGCACATGCCGATACACCCACTCCATCCTCATGTCTCCTACTGCTGGTGAAACGAGGTACGATGTGACAGCCACGAAGAACATCTGCAGGATCAAGGAAGTCAAATGAGTGTTTGTCCATCAGGGGGGGGAAGTTCACTCAATCTAGAGTTGAGGTCGACCAGTTAGAGTGCTGATCCAAGAACCTGTACCAATGAATCCATAGAAATTCCATTCTGACAGGAGTATAGTCGACCATTCCGTGTCCGGTAATGATCACATTGATGTGGTACACGCCCAATATCCTGCCGTACATATATCTATGGCCTTGGCATCCCATGTCATTGTCGGGACGGATAACCATAACGTTATGATGAGAAGTCCTTGGGTTGATGACGTCTTGGGCTCTGTGAACATCATAGGTTGTGTAGTTGAACCTAGCAACATGATGCTCGTACATCCGATCGTCTTTGATAATGATTGTGGTAATGTCGTGTTCAGTTCTTAACTCTGGAGAATCTTCCGATGTGTTGACTCGATGCAATAGATGGTGTTTCAGTTTCAAAACAAAATGCTATATAGGCGTGTTAGACGTTATCTAATAACGCAATGAAGCACTGACTGCTATGGCTGGATCGTCTCGATGATCAACTAAGTAAGATCCTATGTGCACAATGTGCTTTTGTGTCAATCCAATATAGTGGTGAGCTAGAGGGCTTCTTGCTATCTCGGAAATTTCGACTTGAGGACGATGAACAGTATTGTGTCCAATACGACGGATGCGAGCCTGACGGTGTTCGATCCGAGTCAGCTGTTTTACAAAGGATCTGCGATCTGTCCGACTGTATCTGGACTTCGGAGAACGATGTTCCAGTTCACCCTGTAGAAGTTAAATGAGTGAAGTTCGCAGTTGAATATTGTAGCATGAACTGGTTCAGTGCTATAAGAATCAGACGTGCCATACCGGTGAATTGTGGAAACATAATCTCCCAACGCGTAGAACTTATACGTCTGAAAATTAAACTCTTTGCATCGCTTCATGTTCTCATCTAATTTTAGTGAGTCATTAGACTCCCCTTGGTCTACGACACCAGCGTGTTGTTTGCCTTTATGTGTTGCCTTCTGTTTCACAACCTGTCTTGCATGGCGTCGGGCACGACGCTCGACTTCCTGACGCAATTCGCGGGTCACGTAAACGGCGCAGACTGTAGCCTTGAATTGACAAAATTGCTGACCGAGCGAGGAGGTTACTTGTTCCATGATGTCAAGGGTCAAATCGGAATGCATCCGAAGCTTAGCAAGCCCATGCCAGTGGGCCATGGTAAATAACAATTGAAGCACAATGGTATTATGCGGCTCGGGAAGAAGGCCATCAAAGACAGGGATAGAACACTGTAGATTGTGTCAAGAGGCATCCCACTTAATGATGGTGAACTCGTACCTGAAGTAGATCTTCAAAGTTTTGAGCAGCCATATTTTTCATCTCGGAAGAATTAGCTGAAAACTTTCGAATGGTAGCTCCGCCAAATGTTGGGGTCTGCCTGTATCTGAGAACAGAAGTCAGATAAATCAAGCCAGCAACACGTAACAACCTCACCTCTGGTCCAATCGATGGACGAGACCCTGGTCATGGGCTGAAATGATGTGCAACAGATGAATAAAGAGCATCTTCCATACACCAAGCTCAAATTCGTGTAACAGATCTACTACAAGAGATCGGAAGATATTTACACCCAAACGACTGAGGCGGTCTGAAAACGCATTCTAAGGATACAGTTAGCCTGGTTAATAATTGAAATTGAAGTCTTACAGAAGTGGGCACCCATGACTGTGGTTTCAGGATGTGTTCCACCACTGCACTGCCGACCGCAAAGTTCTGCTTATAAATGAGTGAGCGCGCAGTGCTCACCATCACTCCTCTTCGCTCATCATCGTGAGCCAGAGTCTCGCGTTGTTGTCTATCTTGAGGCCGGCCCATGTTCTGAATCCTATCCTTAGGGATAAGGCACCGAGGGCATGGACACCCTCCCATGTTTCAGACCGTCGCTATAAGTACTCTGTTGAAATCAGAGTCAATGTCATTTAACACACGATGAAAATTCATAAGTACTTCTCTGGATAGTCTGCAGAGTAAGTAAAGATTCTCGGGTAGAATCTACGCTTGATACCATCACAGCAACAAATCACAATGCCATGCTCGTACGCCTTGAGGAATTCATCGTCTAACAAAATTCTCCACTGCTCGTGAAAGAGTTCTCGATGACAGTGTGTTGCGCATTCGCTGCTCATGCCTTTCTCGCCAGCTAAGTCTTTGAATGAATCAGGGAGCTGGTAATAGAAAGTTAGGACTTAGCACAGCGAACACGGGGAAGGTGTACCGTTTCGAAGTAAGCGAGATGATTACTTCAATTGCATGATGGCTTGCAGCGGCGATATTTGGACTCATTTCCAAAGTACATATAGGTAGGCCACAACTTCGCATTGCCAAATGAAGTGAGTTGCGTGGCGTCAGACCAGAACATAAGGCCAGCCACTACTCGGGGTAAATCACAGTCTGGTTCCCTTGGTGAATTCTGTAGGTCGCTGTGAGCTTCGTGGAAAGCCATGGAGGTGTATAAATCCCCATAGATGGAGACTTCAGCATCCAGGTGGGGGGGAGTCCAGCGTAACTGGTACGGCTCGTAATGGAAGAGCTTGTCGTCTCGAATACTGGCAAGCTTCTCCCGAAGAACAGCTATAATGGAGTGATGATATAAATCTGCTGTGTGATAAAGTCGCGGGCCTGGCACTTCAGTGGTGCGCGAAAATGGCACCTCGATAGAAACAGGGACTCTTTTCCATCCGGCATCTTCGTCCTCCCATTCTTCTCCACCTCCCTCGTCGAAATCGTTCATGCCGAGTTTTGAGTTGATCTTCTTCCAATTGGTGGAGCTCACGTCAGTAGCCTTGAAGCTACTGCTACCCAAGATATTCATCAGTTTCATGTAGTCCTCTTGTGATTTTTGAACCCCTTGATTCCAGTACCAGTCACCCAGCTCGAAGGAAGAGCGATTAGGATAGGGAAGATACTGAGAGTCACTGTTTGATGCAACAGGTGAAGGTGGTTCGTCATCGGTTTGATGGCTAACTGGTATGAAAGAGAGGTCTGCGATGGTGACGCACTCTTCGGGATCGTGGGATGGTGGTTTGGAAGAGAAGTATTGGCGAACTAATCCAAAGATATTAGGGGGGGTGCGGAATCCCGTGCGCACTGGAGGAGCAGGTAGTTCAGCTGAATTAGCGACAGACGTGATGGGTTCCATGTGTCTGGCACGATTTTCCAAAGGTACAGTAGGAGGCGGCTCTGGAAGCAAGTCCCTAAATCTCATTGGTAGCCGGCAGTTCAGACGTCTTGATCTGCGCTGTGCCAAGCTCATATTCTCTCTTTCATGCTCCCCTCCCTCCAAGTCCGGTACGATACCTCCTACATTAGGAGGTGATGAGTTTGGCAAAGGTGTTGTTCCTTGAGGTTTCGGCACTGTGGAAGTGCTAGCTTTGTCGGAGGGCAGCGGGTTGGTGGATGTAGGCAATGCAACTACCCCCACAGGCGCAGACTCATCATGAGAGATGCGTGGCTTTTTCCTCCGGGAAACAAGCTCCTTGAAAGAGGATATCGCCGATGAAAGACATTTTTGGTCTGAGAACATGTCCGCTGATGGTAGACAAAGTAATTCTGCGCTGTAAAAGTGCGCTTGCAAATGCATGTATAACCAGATGCTGACATGAGTGGATGGAGGTTGGGAGACAAATTTTACTTGCCAGATTGTGCTAATGTCTCCATCAGCTAAGTTGCTTAATGATCGCGCCAGTGCAGTAGCGAAGATGTCGCCAAATGAATGGAGCGGTGATTACGCTGACTAGATGGAGCAGACATTACGCTAACCTGAAAGCATAAGGCCGAAAATGGTAATAGTGTAAATCGGATAGCACGGTGATGAACTAGTATGGCTGGTATATATGAGTGAAGGATTAGTTCAAGCCATCTTCCATCTGCTCCAGATGTCTCCACCCTCTTCTCCATCGCCTGCATGCTCAACACTTGAATCGCCAGAATTTGAGGCTGACCCTCAAGTTGTCAAGATGCTCGTACGGATCTTAACTGCCCGCCATGGCATACTTCACTACCACGGGGAAACAGGAGAATTGGCGACCTATCAATGGTAAATCATGTAATTTAATGGATAGCTAATTCACTCACCCGTCCTACAGGCCGACTGACCGACATGGGTGCAAAATTCATCCATCACAGTTTGAGGTATATCGCAAAATGCATGCGTTTCGCTACCCATCTTGTCTTTGTTCGAGGGGTGGTAAATATGTTGAGGCTTCAGTATTTCAGTGAACTCGAGGCATATGTCGAGGACAATACGTTGTCGAATGCACGACCAGCACTTGCGCCTACATGTGTAAGTTGGCGGCACTGGTCACTCGGCGGATGGCTGATATTCAATTTAGTAAATGCAGAGAAATTCCTCAAGAAGGCCTACATATCTGCTATGTACTATCCTTGTAAATAGTATCCCTCTGAAGGGATCATCACCACGCTCTTGGCTGTCATCCAGAACGGTGTCGACCATATAGACACAGCCTGTATCGTGGCGTCCGAAGTTAGATGTAACAGTTCCTAGAGGCAGAATAATGTAGACTGAGCATCTTATCCGAATTTGATGATTTGTAATAACTCGTACCGTCTCAAATATATTATTGGACAGTTGCGTCCAGAATCCTTCCATGCTACATCCGAGCATGCACCAATTGTGTATTGGTTCTCCAAATCAGCAGTCGAGAATATCTGAAATCAGGGTGAACTGCATGTTTACGGACTAATCTGATGGCGTGCTTACAATTACCGTTTTGGCGACAAGGAATCAGCGCCGACAGGACTCAATGGCGCTAAGTCTAGACCGATGGCCGAAATTATTATTTTGAGTGTTGTGATTTTACAACGACGAGGCATCATTAAATTAGTGCTACATCTGAAATTTTCAACGTTATAAGTTGATATGGAATACTGTATTGTACTTTAACCAAAACGACTAGCTACAACCTGAGGGATATGTATTGCAAGAAAAAATTGGGAAAGAAAACACCGATAATGTGATTGAGGAACTTATATACTGAACGAGACACAGGTTCGAACTCAGCCGGCATTTAGCGCTTATCGGGTTTTGCCAGCGGGATTTGAATATGTACTCATTCTGTATTTCAAGTGCGTCTTTACGAACAAACCACCTCTTTTGACCTCTGGTGGTATGGCTCGTGCATCGATGCATCATGCATCATGATTTATGTTAGTTAGATTTAAATTAAATTATTTAGTCATCAATTGTGGGTGGGCAAGATTCTGCTGATAATAATATTAACCAGCATCTGTCGGTCCATAATGTGTACAAAAGAACGTGGGACCTGAGTCCGCTCCATTGTCCTATAGCTAGTGTCCACAATTGTGCCAAGTCCACCTTCCCACGTCATACTAGTAGTAGTTACTAAGTGCTTCCACAATTAGTCATTCACTATAAATGCCTAAGCATGCCCATTGCCAGGTCTTCTTTCTACTATCACTACCTCGATACGATACCCATAGATATGATAACAAACATAGTAATAAGTTGGCATATAGACTATTGAATATACAGTATGTGAGATTTGGGATTGTCATCGACATTATATTGATCGCGTACAACTACAGACAGAATCATGGCTAAACGCGCGGCATCTGGTGATGATCAACCTGCCCCAAAGCATGCCAAACTTGACAAAAGTGAGTCGTGACAAAGTATCGTTGATATTGTTACTTATGGCATAGGGAATTGTCAAACAGCACCATCACCACGGGAGGACGTGAATGCATGGCACATTCTGGAACGGTTCCTCACCACCGAAATGACATACCCCGAGATGGACGACGCGCTTCTATCGTACCTCGGTGATCAATACTCACCAGACGATTGGAAGGATGCCCGTGTGGCATTGTTCTCTGGTGACAGCGATGACTGTGTTGCGTTATCAAATCTTCGCATCTTAATGGCTGCGAACCTATCTCAAAGTTTATCAGATACGGCGAGCATGGCAAAAGATTCACCCATAGCTACCTCTGCGTCGAGAAAGGAAGTCCGAAGGGCTAAGGATAGTCGGACACCTAGGAATTTCAGGGTATGTGAATCATTTATCTGTGATAAAATATCTACACTAAACAACACGCGTAGCGCTTTATTGACGACGAAGCAGGGGAATCCGAAGACGAGGAGGATGAGGAGGGGGAGGAGGGGGAGGGGGATGTTGGAGATGGCCCCTCTGTGCGATCACACAATATTACAAGTGTGCCAGGACCATTGGCCAAACTTAAGTTGGCTGTAGCGATCGATAGTATTTTTGACAAGTACGATCAGGCCCCGCAGAGCTCTTCAGAACGATGCCTCCCATACAGAGCCGCCTGGTCCCCCGGCACCATTGAAAGCAGGATGTATCTCCTTATTGTTCACAGTATGTTTATTTTTCTAGTTGCATAGCATGTCACTCATTACATCTCAGGAACTGCTACACGATATATTGCCGAACACCTTCGGGCCAAAAAATTTCCTGTAACTGTGTCAGCTTGGCTACCTGGCCAGCTTTACGTGGTTTCAGATAGCCCCAAAACGATTGCAGCATCGCTCCCGCCCTCCCATAGTCTCTCCATGAAGGAGTATCTTCATATCTCCCAAGAAGAATGCGAAATGGTGGAATGTTCGAACATCCAACTTCCCAACCCATTGTGGGTGAGGATTAAACATGGCAAGTACAAGGGGGACATCGGCTACATCTTCAATCCCGATCAATCAGACCTTTTCGTCACGGTCTTGATCCCTCCACGAGAATTTCCCTATGACATGCCTCAAGGGTCTGTAGCACTCCTCGACCAGTCCCGCCTGCCAAAAGACAATACTGTGTCTGATATCCTTCTTGATGGGGATGTTGTAGGGTGTTTGTACAAAGGACAACGATACTACAGGGGGCTTTTACTCAAAAACTGTCTGCGCTATTCCATTGAACTCGTCGCCTCCCCTCACGTTGATGACATCCGACTGCATGTGCAATCCAGGTGGGACAAAGACTTTGTGAAGAACACTATTGCGGCGTTTTCGATGCAGTTCTTATGCAAAGGTGATGCAGTTAGAGTTACCAAAGGAGAAGTTCACTCAGAGATCGGTACAGTCGTTTCGACACACCACATGTCTGGTACTGTGTGCCTAGAGTTCGATTTTAATGATCATCGACAAGAAATGGATGTTCGACTGCAAGATATAGAGCGCATATTTTGGGTGGGAGTGCGGTTAGAGTTGTAGCAGGGTTGTACTCGGGTTTAGAAGGTCATATCATTCAAGCAAACAACGGGGATATTTTCGATGTTTGTCAAGATGTCTCTCAAGAAGTGGTAAGTTTCTACTAAGTGCGTTTTGCAAAACTGTGTAACATTCGTTGTACAGGTTCAGGTATCTAAGTACTACTTGGATCATCGTCCGCCGAATTACACATATCAATCATGGCTATCCACGCAACAACATTTCGAGCACTGCTTCGACGAATCTATCCAAGTTGGCGACTATATCGAAGCTCTCTTCGGAGAGCACACAGGCAAATGCGGAGTTGTGGTTTGGTTCCCTGCAGGAGATACGCAACTGTGGTTCCGGTATGCAAACATCGGGACCAAGGACAACACTGAGTACAGTCCAAGACCACCGATTTTCCAAGTTCCTGCCACATTGGTCCGGCGGACGGGCTTGTCGCAGACTTTGAAATACACGAAGGAAAAAGGTTTTGATGTGAAACCTGGAGATGTCATGAGAGTCACACGCGGGCCGGAGTATCAGGTGAAAGGAGTCGTGCAGAGTGTTGACTTCCCAAAGGCTCGGTTGACACTGTTATCTGAGAGTGATCGCTCGCTCGTAAGTACCATTTGATACCACTTAGACATATCTGACCTTGTATAGGTTGACGTTCCGATCGACTTCGTGATGAAGTTACGCAATGCGCCCTTAGATTCTTTCAAAGATGTCATTGGCCAAGAAGTGTTTGTCATTGGAGGTGGCCGAAAGGGCTACCGAGCCACGTTATACAGTATTGGGAGCGAGTCTTGTACTGTTGCTGTGCATGGGCAGGCGCGTACTGAATGCAAACGACATGACGTCGCCACAAGGTGAGTGATGCACACATTTGTGAGGGAGGACAATTGTTTACAAGTGTTTAGGTATGGAATGAGGTTGGACGGTGTGATGCTTGAAGCGTCGGACTTGATGTCATTCTGCGACATGCGAAAAAGGTCATACTTAAAGTCGCCACCACGAAGATTCACCACCCCTCCTCCAGACCCTGTTCCCTCCGAGCTGCCTAGTTCTATCAACCCAGATCCCAGTTTGTCATTATCCATATGGACTAACTGGAGCGCCAGCCTCACGGATATCAATGCTGCCCATGATCCTTCGTCAATCGCCACGTCCAGCTCAGATCCCTGGACTTTCAATGCCCAGGACATGCAAGATAACATCTCCTCCATGGTGGAGCAAGTTAAAGACAACGGTGAGCTCTCAATGGAGTCATTAGATCATGTTGCTCATTTGCTTACAGGCCCGCTACCTTGGTTGATGAGCAAAGAGTTTTCTTCGCTGTTACTGACATATCACGCGGTATTCAGAGTCTCACCGAGCTTCATGGGAGGGAGACTTCACAAGTGATTTGTATCAATGGCCTGTCCTGATCCATTCTGTGGCACGAACAGACCCGCACCCGAGGATTCTGTCGCAGTATTTTGCACATCCAACAACGTAGGGGCCGCTGTTCAACAGTACCATATCCCCGCCAAGTATCTAAGCCCAGCGCCTCCACGCAAGAAAAATCAATGGTGCCTCATTCTGGACGGGAAATCTCATGGCCAGATACTGACTATCTCGAAGTGTAACGTTAAGCAAAACACTGCCGAGTTTGTGATTGAGGGTGACACTGGCATTACTTTGCATTTTGATCAAATATGTCTTGTCAAACAAGCCCAATAGATGAAGTTTATTAATGTACCATACCATACATCAATCTACTGTTTGCGAGAAAACTAGGTCAAGTCAGCCATTTGCGCTCATGTGTTGTGATAGTCTTATTATTATTGACTAGATGAAGGGATGCGGATCAAGGGTGGTGGCTAAGATTGTCACCGTTGGTAAGGTTATCGAGATGAACATCAGATATCGATCTTCCTGACCCGTATACTGACCCTTTGTACAAATACAAGCTCGGCTCTATCATTGGCTATGCGATCCATTTCGAAGACTGTACATCAGCAAGAACAAAGATCGAATGTACACCATCATCTATTTTATATATGATGTAGCTAATCTTATTGTCTAGACATGACGGACGGTGTTGGACCCAAGTACTCAAAGGTCAGAATGGATACCCTACAGATCACGGCCAATCAACATCAGCCAAGCCAACGGTCTACTTGAAAATCCCCGTGTCAGAATGTTCATAACGCTCCCCTTCTTGTATAGGCCACCATCAGTGAATTCATCACACACTGCAATATGTTTACTTTGCAATTTTGTCCCTAATGCGGTGAAGATAGTGCTCGCATATCAACTTCAAAACAACACCGCTCCCCTTCTCCTATTTGGGTCAGCACTCGAACTCTATCAAGTGCCGTCAAATTTTCGACAGAACCACTCACACGTCTCCCGAAGATTAACACCAGCATTATCAAGGTAAGCCTGCGCTCGTCTAATATGTTGACGGAGGGTTGAACTTCTGTGGTCAGCTTGTGCTTGTCACAGCTTGTGTTTGATGCTTCCTGTCACCCACATATCGGATCGCTGGTGCTGTTGATGTTCTGACAAATCTTCCAAGACGATTACACAAAGAAGCAGTTTGTGCTTTGTTTCATTTGCCGCCAATGACTATTCTCAGCTTAGTTCTAGCCTTGATCTTATTCCTTCGCGTAATTTCTTCTTTATGTACGGATGCTACGACCTTCATGTTATCATTGTCTTAGTACTTGCTCTCCTTGGTGGCCACAGCTGAATTATTGATGAAAATCATATTTCTGGCATTGTGTATGATGTCATCTGGGATATCGGATAATGCTGGCGGAGTTTGAATGTAAGTCAGTCAGTATATCAAGCACTCTTCCTCTAACTAATACTGTTTTTGCTCTTCCATCATGGCTCTCGTTCCATTTTAAAATAATGTAGTGCCTACGTTTTCACAACGATAGTAACATGTAGTAGTCAACAGATATTGTGGTCAATGTTGGCCGTTAAGTTTGCAAATTTGATGTCATGTGTGTCATGTAATATAATATAACTTCCAATTGCGCTGCAATCATGAAACATAACAAATTATTGGTGAGATATTTTTGGCCTACTGTGATCAAAGATATCTAACAAAGCCTGGCGCCGTTGCGATCGTCTTTTGTACTATAGGTTAAGTATGCTCTCCATAGTTCTGCTCTTCCCATTCCAAAAATTCTGGAGAGAAACCAGGGGAAGGGATACCTTCTGCGATTTGGGGGAGGTCGGGTATGCAAACCTCACAGGGCATATGGTGTTTGAGGTTTTCAGCTCGGTAGTATTCCTCGAGCCATCTACGCCTATACGTTCCCACCTTGTCGGAAAGATATGCAACGGTATCTTCTGTGGTTCTTAATTTTTGCTTGACCTGATCCAGCTCAGATTCTACCTCGCCAATGGATCGGTCGTTCATCACTCGGTGAAAATCTCCAAGTCTTGTTGAAGAGGTTCCAGCAATCTCAACTGCAGTCTGGGTTCCTCTATCGACCAATCGATCGTTTGAATGGATTTTCCTGTAGGGTAAGTTTTCTGAGTTGCTCCGCAATACATTATTGCTCACCTGCAATCAGTGCCTATTGGGGGGTTGTCCACATCACAGGTCGGTGCGCACACCGAGGAAAGTTGGAACCTCGAGGTAAATGTGTTTATTTTGTCCCGTGTTCATATTGAAGGAGGCTTACTTTAGTGTAACATTAGTGCCAAGGTGCATGCACCGTGGTGAACGCCTCCAAGAGGGTGAGTCGGGTGTCCGTTCAACAGATATATTGTTGATCATTATGATAGTTACTATCGCAGTGGTCGGTTTATCTATCGATGTGCGATGATAATCAAATGGGCTGAGGTAATGCGCCATGTAATATCGCTAGCAGCCTAGCGCTATATAACGATATCAATATCGCTAGTGGATTCGCGCTACGACGATATCAATATCGCTAGCGGATTCGCACTACAATGATATCAATATCGCTGGCGGCTTAGCGGTCAATAGTCGTCCCATGTCGGGGGGAATAGCGCATTTGGACGGGGGATATAAGACTCTCATTTGCTCCAGGTATTTCAGCTGCTTGGTTCCTTCAACTTGTCATGAGTGACGACGAAAATCAAGCTGGCGGTCCTTCGCGCAAGCGGTGTGGTTCCGCGCTTCATTTGGCTCCCCGTAAAAAGGCGTGAGCTACAAGCTCGCTTAACGGATGGCGAGGAGGAGGACATTATTCACGTAGGAGAATTGGTAAGTTTTCATCCCACAATATCATTGTACTAATCCCTTGCAGCTAGGTAAAGGAGCCTCAGGTGCATGAGGCGACGACACTAAGACTTTAAAATCCGCCGTCCTCGAATGACTTGTGCCTAGAGGACAACCACTCATACTGCCCCTCTCCCGGAATATCAAGTCAGACCGTGAATTTAACCATGATGTCACCGGTAGGTTGCTCTGTCCCGCAGGCCTTGACTGGTCGCACGCAGAGTGAGCCTTTCCACCGTCATACTAACTATCTAATATAACACCATCCAGAACCAAGCAGAGCCTGAAGAGTGGCAAAACCGCAGTTCATGGGGATCAATGGCCTATGTTCTTATACACCGGGTATCACTATGATCCTGATGAGCCATGGAAGGGCTTGCTAAGGAGCGAGATACTAATTTTCGTAAGTTCATTTCATTGCCGATAAATTTTCTACTTCAAGCAATATATAGGGTCTCAAGCATGTTTTCACGTCTCCGAGTTCAGTAGATAAGGAGCCAAAGGCTACTCGCTCCGGAAACACTTACCTACATGGTATGAAATCTGTCACCAAAGGCTCCCTGGCTCATATTGCTATGCAGGCACGCAAATTTCATTATACATGCCTTCCCCTGCTGATTTTTCCTTCAGATTCGATTTTCTTTGACTTCGTCATCTGCATTCTCGCGTACCGACATGATTATGGACTCAGAAAACTTTTACCATAGCATTCTTGACTTACTAGAGGACCCTGATGAGAATGAGGAAGTTGCTGACCTGATGACGTGGTGGACGCGGTTCGTATTTTATTTTGTCAGCTAAGCTCTTCAAATTGACACCTTTCACAGTCGGGTGTTTCCTAATTCTTCTTCTTCGCAGCGCTGTATCAGCAAAAACAGCGCGCTGTCCGAGATTCGGGAAAAATGCGCTGCGTTGCGACAACTAGCGACTGCTGACACTAATTAATCATTCATTTTTTTCGTAACTGTACTGTCTTCTACTACAATTGATGTCGGCTTCCTATATGAATATATGTGACTCAAACACCCTAATTTGTGGCTGTGAGATCTCTGAGTGTTAAGAGGTTTGATTCAGTGCCATTGATAATATTTTCCGGCATTGGAACCTGCCCCTATACTGTCAGATATGCTTTGTTGACAGAGGGCACCTTGTGGTGTCTTGACAATTCAGTGCAAGACCTTGACTCATAGTTAGTGATGGTGCTTTCCCCCATCAGAAGCTGCCAATGTAATGGCAGATATGCTTCGTTGATACAAGGCACCTTGTTGTGTCCTGATAGTGCAGTACCAGACCTTGACTTGTAGTCAGCAATGGTCCTTCCCCCAATCAGAAGCTGCCCCTATAAAAGTAGATGTGTTTTGTTGATACAGGGCACTTTGTTATGTCCTGATAATGCAGTGCCAGACCTTAACTTGCAGTTGGATTCTCCCATCAAAAAACAGCTTGCTATGGCATGGTAGCTCAATATCATATGCTGGAAGATTGTCAGTGAGTGTAGATCTTGTCACTGGAAGCTAGCTATGTAAAGTCAGACATATTTGGGTAGATAATTAGCACCTCGCTACAATATGATAACCTGGTATTATACACTGGCACACTGTCAGTAATGTAATAACTTAATATCATGTCCCAGCTCACTGTTATCAATGGTGGTTTTTACAATCAGAATCTACCTATCTAGAGCTAGACATCCTTGGTGGAAAATGAGCAGCTTGATAGGGCAATGATAACTCAATATTATGCTCTGGCACTTTGTCATTAATGGGGGCTTCTGACATCAGAAGCTAGCTATCTAAAGCTAGACATGCTTGGTAGTAAATTAGCATCTTGGATAGACATGATAATTCAATATAATTCAATATCATCCCCTGGAATATTGTCAGTGATTATACACCTTGCCATTAGAAGCTGCTCCTGTAACAGCAGACATGCTTGATAGTACATTAGCATTTGGATAAGACATGATAACTCAATATCATTCCCCAGTATACTGTCATTGATGGTGGCTTTTCCAATCAGAAGCTGCCTATCTAAAGCCAGACATACCTGGTTGAAGACCAGCATCTTGATAGGGTATCATATGTCAATATCATTCATAGGCACACTGTTGGTGATTACACATCCTACAAGTGGAAGCTGGCTATGTAATAGTAGATATTCGTGCCAGCAACACATCAGTGTGCTAGTGGATCACAACTTTGTACCATAGGCCTGTCAATATCATAGCTTTTGTAGATCTCACCAGTGTAACCTGCCTATCTATTCCTTTATCATATGATCTATAATTTTGATATATATTTTCAATATTATACATTAAATAAAGCTAGCTAAATCTTTGTCAAACTCAAGTTAAATGCCTGATGTACACAAGTATCACAATAAGTAGACAGATCAGCCCAAGAGTCAATTATTATTATGGCTCATACACCGAGTATATTAATATAAATGCAATTGTGCAATGAGTTCAATATCCGGCTGTTGTTAAAACAATATACTGGTGAGCGGCGTGCCAATGGGTGATATGTCTATCATAATGTCACTAAGCAAAGCCACTATGGTATAGGGGTAAGTTATACTCCCTTTTTGCCTTACGACCCGCGTTCGAATCTTCCCCTTGCCTTTATTATTGAGCTGATACAAACGGGAGATACAAACAAGGTCAAACTCTCGCGCCACCAACAACTTGTGCCAGTCTGCCAAGTGTGTTAGAGTCCAAAGTTGCGCTGTTTGAATTATTGTTGGTCGTATTTGGTTTGTGTGGCGGCACTCGGATGTACTCTCAACACACTGCCGATGGGTAGGAGTCTGGGTTCTGGATCGAACTGCGGCAGCACTAGGAATTACCAGGGGATTTTCCCGCCGTTCCGGAATCCGGACTGAGACAAGCCGAAGGAACTTTGCTGAACCGTTTCGTTCGAGAATGATCGAGATCACCAGTACTATGCTTTTAGTACCGGCCGAGTCGACTACTAATGAACCTTAACCGGTACTAAGATCTACTGGCACAACAAGAATTTCATTGAGCAGCGAGCACATAAAAGCCAGCCATCTTCCTACTATCTTCCTCGGAATTTCTAATCTCACACACATCACAAGCAATCCATTTCTCCTTTGCAACTGTCCTCGCCGTCATTGCTTTAGCATCATCAATCTCCGCCATGCCCGCCGACGCGGCTGGCACCAGTACATGTCCTGTATATTGTAACGTTAACTCAGATTGTCACATATGCGACAGAGACCAATGCATGAGCATCAATATTTTTCCTGGATTTGATACCATGACTCACCTTCATAACAGAACTTTTCTTCTTCTGTTCGGTGAGTTATGTTTCTGCCTTCAAATTGCTGCAGTATGGACATTGGCACTGACGCCGTCGACGTGCGAATTATTAGTGATTTGCCGAGTTGACCAACGTACCGTCAGGACAAGCATCTGGTAGAGTTCGTGTAATTTTCGGTCGATTAGGCTGATTAGCTTTTCAGGAAATACATGAAACTGGCAGGTCAGTATCATGACGCAAAGAACACCTCGTATTTCACATGATATTTCAAATAGTCGCTGCCACTGATAGAACGCACGCAGGTAAAGCCACTGGCAGATGGCTCACGGTTGACGGTACGGAGAGTGATCTATGATCTATCACTAAATAACTCAGCTTTACAGGCGCTTTTCGACGTAAGCAGAATCTTTGATACCGTAACATTAAGTGCTGAATGACTTCAGTCGTGCCATTCTAGCACAGCGCTTGATGAGCTCTAGATCGACTTCGTCGCTGCCGAATTCTGAATGATGGTTAGATTTGCCTTATCTCGTGAGAGAAGCAGTTTCCTGTGATTCTGTCTGATCGTCTCCATAGTATGACTCCAGATGATGGCACGTTTGTCGATGGCATTACGCCAGGTGCTCGCATCAGGAAGCATTCCCAGGCACAAGTTGTGAGCATCGGTTTCGGCGAGTTGATCGTGCTTCTCAGTCAACATCGGACAGGTTTTTTTCCCGGTTTGTGAAGATTTCGAAGAGAGTGAAAGCATCACAATGCCTGGTCGACCTATTGGTGGACTCATGACCTTTGTGCGTAGAACTACCAAAAAATCAGTTCCTTCTAATCTTCCCCTGAAGGCTTTCATGCATGTTTTCTGTCCGTGTCAAATTTCCATTGCTAGCCCAACTGGCTAATATTTGAACTTTGCTCAGCTTGTACGCAGGCTCTCACTTTCCAAAACAGATTCGAACAAATACGCGCGTTCGTCCGTGAAATCTCACCGGACGCTAGACAACACCCTCAGTTTTCCTGCCCGAATCTTCTCGTTTGTCGACGTATTCTTATCCAGACCATAGCCACTGATATTGCACAGGATATAACGTTGCCTTTCTATATCTAAACGCTTGGAAACTGGATTGGGTTGTAATCACTCCTTATATGTTAACATGATCATGTTCATTTGACACCGTTCCGTTACGAGCCGCTCGTAAGTACGAAATGATTGGGTGGAATTGCTGAAGACAGTGCTCATAGATCATCAAAGAACCCGGGGTTAGGCTCCCCGAAGCCTGGATGCGGTTCACATGTCCTTCGTCTAACATATACACAGCGATGATTGGCCAGATTGGCCAGATTGGCACAAGGCACGCTACTTCTGTATCTCTTCGGTCGCGAGAGTGATTATTGTCCGGTAACACACCGGGGACATGATCAGCGATGCATGGTCCTATGCCAGCTTTAGAACCGACGACATACATTGTTTCGAGTTCCTTCCCGTCCTTGTGGAAGGCACGAAGAGGTATATGCACATTACTACACAGAAGAGACATATTGCTTGGCAAATCCATCTCAAGTCCTTCGTTGAGCGTACGGATTGTGTTCTTAACGCACTGGAGACGCGATATTCACAGCAGGGAGAAGGAGAGGGTGTTGCCGTTGCTGTGAAAGAGTTGAGGACTGCTACAAGCGATGTGTTTGAAGAGTTGGTCAGCAGTTAAGAAGTTGTTAGTCCCTGATTATCACAGTATTTGCGTATTGTGCTAGCGTCCTTACAACTGGGAGAGACAAGTATCGCGACTGAAACAATATTGATAGCCTCCGAGTCAAGAAGCGTCAGTGGAGAAATGGCGCGCGCACGTGGCGGTCACACCAATTTCGAAATCGCCGCGTCCTTACAATATGTAGAATAGAAAGACGCGTGACCAACACGATCGGTGTACTCACTTGGTCTAGTAATCACGAGAGTAGATTGCAATGCATTGCTCGGAGATTCAGATTGTAACACTGCAAAAGAACACGGTCACAACTAGTAGTACCCGAGAGACTTTGATCGATTGATTCGGAGGACAGGACGTCATGTAGCATATAACTAGAATGCATCAGCTTGAATTCAATAAAAATTATCGATGGAAGTAGAATGAAATAAACCATGGTTGAGGTAGAGGCCATAAAATAGTTTGTTGCTGTGATCTACGAATTTTAAAGTAGTGTGTGTAATACTGTGGCGTGTGTAATACTTTGTTGGGTGTGTTAAGTCCTATTGCCTGTTACAGTGACCAAACAAACGCCAACGTTTGCAGCAGTCCAGCTCGTCACTTACAATGATAATCGATCAGGAGAAACAATCAATATCATCCGTTGAAACGATAGCGATGGATCCACAGACTGAAGTAAGTCGTCCGTCCGTGGTTTCTGATCGTGCACTGAATCGAGGATCAGGATCGTGATCGTGATCGTCTGGGCACGCTGATCAGAGCCATGATGACAGAATTGGAGGAGGCGAGAGAACAAGCAGCGGCGAGGGAAGAAGCCAGGATGGGAGAATTGGAAGCGGCGAGAGAAAGAGCGGTGGAAAGAGACAGAGCAAGGATGAGAGAAGTGGAGGCTGCGAGAGAAAGAGCGGCTGCGAGAGAAAGAGCCAGGATTAAAGAGATCGACATGATGAGAGAAAGTGCGGCGGCGAGAGAAAAAGTAAGGATGATGGAGATTGAGGTGATGAGAGAAAGATTGAAGGGCCACACACGAGTGCGCAAGTCGTCAAAGTTCCATCGTGTGTTAGCGAGCTTGCCGTGCTTCAGGCTACAGGAAAAGTAAGTCATGACCAAGAGCCCAATAACCGATGGTTGACAAGTTTGTTGGCGTCAACAGCACCACTAACGCCAACGCCAATACATACACGAATTCGAATTCGAACTGTGCTTGAACTATACTTTCGGGGAAGGGGCGGATGATGTTCCATAGTCAGCAGTTGTGTCAAGCGTATTGATGTCATGCTCACCTTGCCATTTCACATCTTTTGTACAGACCGTTGATGGTAAGCGTCCCATGAACAATGTAATCTGAAAACCAAGCAGTAATAACGTCCAGTCCTAGCATGATCTTAATACGACCAATGATGTGGCTAGAAATTACGACCATGCTATCCAGACGTTGGTGTTTGGTATCCACGAAGGCTCATGTAATTACTCAAGATGTCTAACATCCGGACCATTTGACTGAAGATGAGCACACGATGACCACCTTGCCGAAGGCGTACGAGGAGCTTGTCAAGGAGGATCATCTCTCCGCTGTTCATGGCAAGGCCTTTGAGAGTGTGTTGTCGTCAACTTCAGTGCGCACTTCGGCTCCGTCGGTGATTCGCAGCTTTTTTGAGCTCCATCGCAAGGTTGACGTTGTTGTTCCCATTTGCATTCTCCACCAACCCCTGGAAGTTCTGGACGAGGATGAGCGAGAGTTGATAGCCAGCCCAATATAAGCCTACCTTTGTCAGGATATCTACAATATTTAAGCACAAGATACCGCCGGCTCGGGCGCAATTGTGTCCACTACGTCATGCTGTGTTGTTGTGCTTTGATAGTGTCGTCTCCTGTCTGTTTTCTATTTGCTTTGTTGTAAGAATGCGTCTGCGGAGACATTTCTACTCGAAGGATGCGCTCACTTTTTTGTAGGCAAGGAAGTAAGGACATCAAGTTTCAGTCGGTGGAGCATGAGTGACTCGAGTTGTTGATGCAGCTCCTTGACCTTGACTTCGTGATCCGCGTCGTTAAGATGGGATTCGTCGGTCAAGGCGACTATGATAAGAATATGACACAGAACCTACACCTCTCAGGTATCAGGAAGTGCATCAATGAAAACGCCTCTGCACGCGATGCGGCGTCAGCAAAAATCGCCACAACCCAGTCGTAGTAACGCGCACCCTTGAAATTGTTTTGCAGTGGCGTGCCGGTGATCAATAGCTTTGTACAATATCACGGCGTATTGCTCTCATGCTCACCTTGCCATTTCACATCTTTTGTACAGACCCCCTTGAGTGTTATGTGATAGTTGCGCGTCCTAAAGAGTCTTCGTGAGGTAAGATGTGCGTGTCTGCCGCTCGCGTATCGTAACAATCTCAAGGCACTCCGCCTTGACGACGTTTCGAAAAAACTTACGAGCATCTTGTCATACATGAGGCTGGTGTGCGATATCATGCAGTTGTGCGCCAGCTCCTAGAGGGGCCATGCAGGTAAGTATAATCCCGGATGTGAAAGCAGCACACAACAGCCTACCTTAAGACCGAGATTGACCCGGGACTGCGATCTACCTGAGCAACAAAGTGTGATGGACATCGTTGAACTGGCAGAGAAGACTGCGGGTCATCATATGTGCCTGAATATCTCACTCATATTAGTGTACCGTATGGCATCCCTAGTCTGCGCCTCACCTAGGTTCTCTGCAGTGTCGTCGTTTAGATAGTAAGAATGAAAAGTTTCTTCTTTTTCAAAGTCCCATTCGCCTTCGGCTTCATGCAACCTACACATCCCCTTTGGAAGATAGATAGATCCGGATGTCAACTAGATATGACCTGTAAAGCTTTCGAACGGTGATGAGGCCGAGCTAAAGCTGCCTTTTTGCTCCCCTCAAGGATTGTGCTTCCTTCTTAGTCATAAGCTTTATCAGCCCACGGAGAGCGGAGGCCCGACCTAGCAATAAATTTCTGCCGCCCAAGGTCTGTCAGGTATTGACTATGCACGTGGGAGAGGACCTCACCACCACAACAGCTTGCGCTGAGGATGCAGGAGCATAGTCTTTGTAAAAGGCCAGACCACCAAAGACAGCGGGTCTTCACTACCGATAATTTTGCGAAATGAACTGCTCGCAGCACAGCGAAAAAACCAGATTTCAAACCATCGAAAAACTCACCTAACAATCTAGACATAATTGCCTGAAAATTTACCCCTGCTCAATTTGGACAACTTCAAACCGCTCATCCACCGCGGCTAGTGAAAGTTACGTACCAGGTCGTGAAAATAGTAGTCTTGCATTCAATTCTTGGTTTCTAGTATGAGCATCGGTCCTTGCTTCGGCGGTTGCAGGTTCTAAGGCGAGAACGTGGCTTCGAGACGATCGCCTGACCTGGTATCATCGGTGGTACCTGCGACATGGTTCTCCCTTGCGCAGTACCAGTATAACCAGTAATTCAAGATGCCAGCCCACGCCGAATACAATCCGCCATCTCCTAGAGAATTCTTCGCAGAGTGGGCTAGTATCAGAATTTGTGAGATACAGTAGATATTGAGAGAACTTGCTTGAAACGGTACGGCAACCATAATCGAAACAAAGGTCATAAATCCTGTGAATGAACTGTTTGCTGCACCCGCTGACCACGAGCGATCAGGGTTCGCATTAACGAGGTACAACGAGCCTTGGATCAGTCGCGAAGGCTCCTGCTGCGATGCGACCGCCTGGCCTTAAGCTAATAGTTTTGGTAGCAACGCTGGCACTTGGTCTTGTAGCCTGCGTCCCGCGTACGGTGAAGCGATTAGCATCTAGGTTGTATGATGCGAGCGAAAGTGTGACGAAACTGTCATTACTCGACCGAATTCTGAGCTATTACTCCGTAGTTCAAAACCCTAGATATGGTGCATAGCTTGGATGAGATAGTTGGACGTTCTCTCTTTATCTCCAGTAAACGAGTCAGCACCCTTTATGGCGCTCGTTCTCGTTCATCCACCTCTAATCAGAACCCGAAACATCAGAGTGAGGGGCATTCGAATACAATCCACATACCTTTAAGTGCCCATCTAGAAATGAGTCGTCCGGCAGTATGGTAGTGACAACAGTGTGGCGCTGCAAATCTATCTCTGCCCTGCTCTTGATTATATCAAAGGCTAATTGGAACCCTGTAATAACGCTGCCAATTCGCTCCTCAAAGTCGCGGTGGAGCGCTGTGATGATGCCCTTCAATTTGCTAGTAGGGACTTTGCTGTCCGTCGACCTCCAGTCGTTAATTCCCTCTATGTTTTTCATAGATGGGTTGTGAAATGAAGATACGGTACGGAAAATGTATCGTTTGCATGACGGGCGACGACGTCGTCCAGAGCTTTCGCCGCCCTCGCTGTAAGCTCCTTTGCGGTAGGAAAAAACCCCTCCTCAAAGGTCAAGCTTATCATCTTCGCGTCAGCTTCTTCGTGTGAGTACCAATACTAGTAGAGGCAAGGATTTAATTCCATCCGATGATGTTAAAAGTAGCTGTACATAACTTTCGATGTAGACCTGCGAGCCATACCGGGTCTGCCATGAACTCGATTGTTGACCTGATGGAACGTGAGTACCAACACTAGTAGTAGTATCGAGGATTTAAATCCATCCGATGATGTTAAAAGTAGCTGTACATAACTTTCGATGTAGACCTGCGAGGTCACTGGAGGTCGCGGCGATGATAGAGTGAAAAAGAAAGATGTCTGAGGTTGATGGTACGACGACAATCACCGTGTGCCAAATGGTGTAGTTATTGATCACGATCGCAGGTTGAAGCCGGCTAAGGTTGGTAAAGACCACCGCACTGTGATTTTTCCTACCTCAAGTCTATTTTACCCAGACGGGACGCAGTGAGTAGCGATGGAAAGGATGGGCTTTAGACAATGTAGAAAGTTGGTGCTAACGATCGATAAGAACCAAGAAAATATGAACAAATATATGATCTAAGCGGCAGTTACAGTAACTTACTACACCACTTACCTTCTTATACACTCGGCACTGGAAAGCTCGACCAAGTAAGTCTGCTTTTCGTAGTCCTCGTCGTACCACACCCATTGCGTCGTGGATTTCTGGGACAGTCACTGCCTCCGGCCCTGCTACCTCCGTCGATCTAAAGGGCTACCTCACACCACTAAGTCGTTACCAAGGTTGGAGCTGAAGTAGGCGACATCAAGCTTGCTCGTACGTCGTTTGACTCGCTCATCAAGTCAAATCCTAAACATCGTATTGCGGCTGCACGTTCGGAAGAATGCGCTGGCCTTACGGTTGCTGCAAGGGAGCTTACAAAGCAGGTTGCCAAAGGCGTTCCAAAAGCGATGATGGTCGGTTCGGAAGGTTACACGTACGTGAACCGCGGTACTCCCTGCGCTGTCGCCGGTATGTGTTATAGAACGACGGCGATGCAAAGTCATCCTTGCCAATGCTGTTCAACACGTCGGCCAGAGCGTCAAGATCTGGCCTACAGGACCTTGGGCGTGACGTTGATCGAAGAAACCCGTTCTGCGTAAAGGTATATAATTTTTTCGTTGAATTCACCGCAATTCATTCACATTACACAGCACTAGAGAATATTTCTAACTCCGTTCGGGAAGCTGTCAACCTTGAAGAACCAGCTGCGGACGCGCTCGCCAAGGACGTCGTCGAACAGGACTATTACAAGTCCGTATGTATCGTGATTACGACCCATACAGACGATGACAGCGGTGATCCGTTCATTGGCCTCTCGCACATCTTTATTATCCACTTTAAACTGGTTGACCACGTGACTACTGGGAGCCCGGTTGACATCGTCCACCAATTTTTGGCGCCGTATTTTCCATATGGTGGTCTCCGCAAGCTCGACGTAGTCTTTGATCTAGGCACTTCTTTGAAAGTTAAAGGTTACAACGAACAATGCATGGAGCTTGCCAAGGACGTCGTCGAACAGGACCATTACAAGTCCGTATGTATCGTGATTACGACCCATACAGACGATGACCGCGGTGATCCGTTCATTGGCCGTAAAACAGGAGACATAAGATCTGAAACCAACGGCGCAGCAACGCTGCAATGCACCCGATACGCATGGTCCCACGCTACAGCACGGTGGTGGATCGACAACCCCTCGGAGGAGTACGAGCAAGTGAGACCAACGACAAAGCTGGGAAGATCAGCCCCTTCTACCGGTTGGTTTCGGCGAGAAGCACGAAGGAGAAACCTGAACTTGATTTGAGATAATTGGCATTAGAATAACAACGCTAGGAATTAACGCTGTACCGATTAAAGAATTGCGTCGTTACAGGACGAACTTTAAAGCACCCTGAGGAACGAGGAAAAACACAACGCTGTACCGATTAAAGAATTGCGTCGTTACAGGACGAACTTTAAAGCACCCTGAGGAACGAGGAAAAACACCAGAGCAGCAAAAATCTAGCCTCATTGTGCCGTCAATGCTCTAAGCTAGTAAGCTCAGCTGTGGCACGCACTAGGACTTTGGAACCCGGGCGTGCCATGCTTTTGGTGAAGAGATTTTTGAACGTCGCACGTTATGCTAGATTCGTTAAACGTGGGTTATTGTCCGCTGACTATCTTTGTAATTCAAACGGCAACTTCGACAAACGCAGTTTTGTAGAGTACGCTAGTGTCATCGATTCTCTCACGAAGTTTTATGATGCGAACGAAAGTGAGACAGAATAATCACTACTCGACCGAATTCTGAGCCAGTACTCCGTAGTTCGAAACCCCTAGCATACTGGGCACAGCCCGGATGAAATAGTTGAACCCTGTCTCTTTATCTCCAGTAAACGAGCGGGTGTCCTTTATGGCAGCTGCGTACCAATCCTTATCTTGCTGGCTAGGGAAGGGAGTAACATCTATGCTCACAGCCTGCCTCATCTTCGAACGACATAGAGCTGCAATAAAGCAGATGGTATTTCTAATGCATGTTTGCCACTTCCCGTCTTGATGGAAGGGGATAAAGCGGGAATAGTGCTGGCGCAGCAACATGTGTTCCATAAAATCAATGATTGTTAGATGCGCAAATGGAACGCAGAATGTTCGGGATTCGTTTGCGTTAATCTGGAACTAATCAGAGCCCGAAACATCAGCGTGAGAGGCACGCGAATACAATCCACCTACCTCTAAGTGCCCATCTAGAAACGAGTCGTCCAGCAGCATGGTAGTGACAACGGCGTGGCGCCGCAGGTCCATCTCTTCCTTGCTCTCGCTTGTATCAAAGGTTAATTGGAAGCCTGTAAGAGCGTTGCCAATTCGCTCCGCAAATTCGCGGTGGAGCACTGTGATGGTGCCCTTCAATTTGTTGATAAGGGCTTCGCCATCCGTTGACCTCCAGTTTTTGATTCCCTCTACGTTTTTCATCGATGGGTTGTGAAATGAAGATACGGTACGGAAGACATACCGTCTGCATGACGGGCGACGACGTCGTCCAGAGCTTCCTCGGCCCTCGCTGTAAGCTCATCTGTGGTAGGGAAAAACCCCTCCTCAAAGTTCAAGCTCATCATCTTCGTGGCAGCTTCTTCGTTTACTTGTATGAGTAAAGACTGCGATACAATGTCGATCGAGTTCGACGTCGTTGCCTTGGACCTTCTTGCACGGGGAACGTCCCTAGGCGCAGTGTTGCTAGAAGTCTGTTGCTTGGAACTGGGGCGTTGGATCCTGGTGTGTTGCAGCATCTTAGTTGCATCATTATTAACAGGCAAAGGCAACGTCAAGCCAAAAGAGCCTAATGATAACTGGCGCTGTGACAGGGCGTGTGGGATGCTGCAATTACCCTGACTGGACTGTAGCCTTGGGTTCGTCACGGCACCCGGATGGTTTTGACCCACGGGCGCCTGGTACCGTAGCGACTGCACGATTACTGGTAGGGTCTGGGCCCCCGAGCCTAAAGGGGTAGCTTGGCCTGGGTCACTAGCCAAAGATAAAATCTGGTCTTGCGTAGCCTGAGAAGCTGGGAATGACTCGAATGGTTGTAGCAACTGGCTGCTACCTGGCACGGCCAGCTCGGGCTGTGGCCAGAACACTTCATCGTTGGTACCGAACGCTGGATTGAGGAGTTGAAAGAGTTCGGGTTGAGTCATGAAACTTAATCTTACCTTGACTCGGACTCAGACGAACGATCGGGCCAGTCCTCGCGCTTGTTCCACCAAGTTCGAATGCCCCTTGCTCCTGGTACTGCGACGGTAATCGTAGTATACCTTCTACTAGCTTGGACTCATCCACGTTAGCTGTACTTAATTGGTGGAAGAGCGTATTTGCAAGGTGATCCCTATAATGGGGATCCTGCCATTGCCCGGCGGGCCATACCGGGTCTGCCATGAACTCGATTGTTGACCTGATGGAACGTGAGTACCAACACTAGTAGTAGTATCGAGGATTTAAATCCATCTGATGATGTTAAAAGTAGCTGTACATACCTTTCGGTGTAAACGTGCGAGGTCACTGGAGGTCGCGGCTATAACAGAGTGAAAAAAGACGTCTAAGGTTTATATTGTGATGATAATTACCGTGTACCAAATAGTGATGGATAATGATTGCAGGCTGAAGCCGGCTAAGGTTGGTAAAGACTACCATACTGAATCTCTGGTCGTTTCCTGCCTCGCGTCCGATTTCACTTACCTCACCCAACTTCCTGCCCCAATGCATCGCAGCAGCTAGAGTTTGAAAAGATTGCTTTGAAATTCATGTCGCTTACTACCTAGAGGCGTTTTGGGAGTGATCCAAAATGGACTAGAATACGCGAGGCTCTTGAATGGTTCCCAAATAGCGCCGCGATCAAGCTCCGAAATTGACCAGCGCTCTGCAATGTCATTCCCACAACGCGATATGTAATAGGACCATACGCTCTCCATGAGGGGTACAACATACTGAACAAGATAATTTTCAGAACAGCGTCCATTTCCAGGCAGTGTGGACGAACTTCGATGCTTACATCGAAAAACCCGTGGTCCATAGTAGCGTCATTAATATTGGAAGTCGTCTGAGTTGGGTCGGCACGTAAAAAGGCGTGATGGTGTCTCGACTGCGCCCATCGCAAAGTTAGCCGAAGTGTCAATTGCCACCGTACACGCCGTCGGACCGACTCCGGATAAATCGAGGTTGCGCTCTCGTAGTTACCCTTTTGGATATTGCGGTATCACATTAGAGTCAGGACTCAGGAGGCCCCTAACACGAGGGTAGCCTAGAGGCGGCACGATGCTGATAAGATGAGTCAGGTCCGACCAGTAAATTATTATAATAATATTACTCTTAGCCGGCTCAGAGAAGACCCTGATGAATAAAATAGATCGAATAAATCGAATGTTGTACTTATTCGACTTGCAAACACAAATCATCGTTTTTTTCCCTAAAAGTCGCGTGCTACATAAGGTAAGTCGGCGCCGATTGATTCCACGTGGGATCACGCTATGGCAGGAGTGCACCCTCCCATATTGGTTGTCTGTGCTAGCCGAGGCACGAGGCTAGCACAGAAATTTAAGTAAACAAAGTGACGCAACGCACCTTGCTCCGGCTAACATCTAGCCTTGAAATCTTAGGTCCGTGCGCATGCGCTGGGCCGAAAAGCCCTACGGGCTTTTACCCAATCAACTTCCTTTACGTTCATCGATCAATTGCTATCACACTTGTACCTAGCTTCTGCGCCCAGGTTGTGCGTTACCACTATATAGTACATTGGAGCTTTCGATGTCAACGTCTCGCTTTCGCATGGTGTATGCAAGACGCTTTATTTCGTAATGAAGATCATGACGCGGAATTCAATCAATGAGGGCTACAGACTACTACAAAGAGAGGGAGGAAACACACGATGCGAATAACGATCGACTTGAAAGCGGGTCTACGAGGAAAACGTCCAATAAAAAGTATATTGACGAACAGAGGGCATCACAATATGGTACAACCTGTGCTTTACTAGCCAGCCTGTTATGCAAGATCAGTATTATAAGTGACGGTGATTGATACAATAATTACATCAGGTGTGTCATCGGACTTGACGGAATCTTGCGACATTCTGCTACTGTCTCCATCGACGCAATCGTTGACAAGGGAGTGGGCCATACCCTCAACGAGATCAAGCTGTTTGTCTCCAACGGCGAGCGACGTTATGTCAGGCTTGTATACAGCCACGCAAAAGTGGAGGCGCTCATCGAGCTCATCCACGTTTCCTCTAGAGATCCCTTGGAGCGAGGTGTCCCGAGGTTCTGACGCAGCATTGACATATGTGTCACCGTCGTCTTCAAGAACCATCTGAAGAAATCTTTTCTGTTCTTCGATAGCTTGGATTTCCCAAGCTGTTGTCAGAGCACGCATGCGCCTCCATTCGACATCAGTTCGTTTCGTGATGACGGCTTGCGCAATTGCCTCGGGAGACAGGGATTGCAATCGATTTTCGAGTAAAACTTTGCCCTGGCATGCTGTTGGATTATCAAGAAGTTGCGGGTATGCATCGGTTAACATACCTTCTGAGTGTCCGGTAAAGTTCCAGAATCAGTGGGGGAAAGTTGGCTTGCAGCGTAGCGGCGCTGTACTGTGCTGGGGTCACGCCTCTCGTAGGGCTTGGGTCGTGCTTTCGCAGAACGCACATAACGAGACAGACTCCGGATTATGGGAGGAGGAGTTACAGGTGCATCTATGTCTTCATCGGATGAATCATAGGGACCGGTGTCAGATAAGTAAAGTGATCTTGCACGGCGTTTGGTTGGTGTAGTGGCAGTACGACGCGTACGATGAGTCGTGCTATTGGCAATAGCCAAAGAGCGATGGAAATCTTGTTCACGGCCATTCAAAAGGCCATTCGCTCTGCCCTTGCTTGGGCCTTCATAGTCAGGACGATAGTGTCTGAAGATGCTCTGAGGAGGAACTTGAACAGCGGCCATACCTTGTGGACTCTGGAGACAGTGAGGTTGAGTTTGAAATACTGACACACCGGCGGTTTTGGAGTTTTGCACTATGCAAGATTTGTTTTGAAATGTTAGTGATAAAGTTGGCATTCTTACTATACATTTTGACGCAGTAAAAATGAAAAAATTGGATGAGTGGCCAAATCCTGGGCAAAATTCTACATTTTATGAATCATTTTAACGTTGTAAAAGAAAGACATTTAACCGACAGCAAGATCTGAAGAAAAATGATCGAACATTTTGATTCAAATCTTACATGGGGGTAAAACTCCTTTCCAACAGGTAAAATGTGTTTTAAAATTTTTATTTCAAAATTTTCTCAAACCTCACCCCATGTAAGATTTGAATCAAAATGTTCGATCATTTGTCTTCAGATCTTGCTGTCGGTTAAATGTCTTTCTTTTACAACATCAAAATGATTCATAAAATGTAGAATTTTGCCCAGGATTTGGCCACTCATCCAATTTTTTCATTTTTACTGCGTCAAAATGTATAGTAAGAATGCCAACTTTATCACTAACATTTCAAAACAAATCTTGCATAGTGCAAAACTCCAAAACCGCCGGTGTGCATGAGGTGCTTTTTATGAACACGGTTTACAAAAATGGGTTTTGGGTTTTTCCCTGATAAGACTACAGTACTCCCGGGCCCTTGAACAAACTATGGACAAGGTGCTTAAGCTATACTAGTAACCTTGAATCAGAATACAGCTCATGAGAAAACTGCATGAACAAGAGCATGAGAGTGCGGCTTGAGATCGATCACTAGATACCTGCCGATTTTGATGTACACTGAAATCGGAAGTTGATTGATAAGGTAACTGCCTATTTTAACGTGTATCGAAAAAGGATACCACATCTAAATCTGAGTTGGAACTTGGTACGACCGGTGAATCAGTAGCTTCCCATCTTTTTGACTGAATTCCCTCCATTTCGCAACTGAGATAGTTGGTCAAGTTATATTATGTAATATTATGCTTAGATTATATGTTTGTTCATATTTGGGTCTTATCGATCGTTACTAATAGTACCCACTCTTAGGCTCAGGCTACATCATGATTACTGAGATCTGAGGGAGAAAAACTGATGTTCTGTGCTACGTAGCCTTACAGTTCAGCCAAAGCTGTCACAGCATGCATATATTAAGGTGATCAAAGTTGACACCAAGGTCGGTAGGATACATATCCCTTACAACCTCGCTTTAGAATGCGGTCATCAGTGAACGCATGAGTCCTTGAAATTGTAGCCATTGCAACTGTAGGATGATGTAATTCGGCTGTCACCAAACATGACTATGTATGCCACAACAAATCCTACTTGATCGTACTTAGCTATGGATGATCACCAATATAGACTCACTAAAGGAGTCCGCGACAAAGTCATAACAAGCTGCCTTCACAGATAGCAATGGACGTAAGCATAATGGTGTCCGTGTTATTGAGCATTCCCACTTGCAAGCATTTATATCTCATATTAAAAGTTTATTCAAGACTTTCCACAGGACAACGGCTCCGACCCTTGACAGCAGGTAGAGATTGGCCTGATTATTCATAACAAAATTGTGAGATGCTGCCTTCGCAGCCGGTGAGGGACGGAAGCTCACTAGCGTTGACGTCGCTGGTTGTTCTCAGTTTCCATCAAATATTGGTCTGATTTCAATGCTATCCAAGACCTTCTGCAATACAACGGCTTTAGCCCTTGACAGCAGATAGAGATTGGCCTGATGGTTAGGAACACAATCGTAACACGCTTCCTTCGCACTCAGTAAGGGATGGAAGCTTGCTAGCATTGACGTCGCTGATTGTTCTTAGTTTCCATCAAATATTGGCTCAATTTTAATGTTATCCAAGACTTTCCCGCAGGACAACGGCCCTAACCGGAACCCGGCAGACGAGAGCCGCCACCCTGTGCCTTTTCAACTCAGACAGATGATACCATTAGTTCTGGCAATGACTCACAAGTCACTGTGCATATTGCCTTATATATCAATCTCATCTCTTCACCGGTTCACTGATGTGCATCTTGAGTCTTCGTTGCTTGAATAGTGTATGGTTTTTCATGTTTTCGATGACATACCACGTAATTTCATATTTGACGCCACCGTGACATCATTTCACAAGACCCCCCGGAGAAAGATCATATCCGCGCAGCTTTCTATCATTGTAGATCTCTGTTCAAAGGAAGTTTTGCAGTCTACCTGGACTCACGCGAAGTCGACATTACAAAAATGCAGGATAGAAATCATATGTGCGAGCATTTACAAATGTGCAAGATATCATAAGATATGATAACCATTAATGTGGTTTAATAGAAATCATGTACACAGCCCTCAGATGACAGGGACATGTTTAGGGCCCTTCGCAGCATATATCTGCGCCAGTAGCCCAAGCACCCCACCATCCTCTAACTCCTCTTCGTCGTTGATACCTTCCTCCTGTGACTCGTACGGCTTCTTGCCCTGAGTGTCCCCATCAATGTATGAATCGCCCAGTCCACTGCCAACACCACCATCTAAATCTCTGTCCTCATCCAGTATCGGCGGCGGCAGAGGCGCAATACTTCCCTGAGAGTTGCCCAGTATCGCGGTCTGTGCCATACCCATAGCTGAATTCGAGCCAATGGCTGACTGCCATATAGTCAAAGAAGCGGTACCGCCTCCACCTGCGATGATGTTGCCCCCACCTAGCTGGAGTCTTCGCCGGAGGGCAGCATGCTGACTCTGCCAAAGAGTGCGGTCGTATTCGTGAGCACACTCTGCAGGGTCCTTGTTGCCGTTGTTTAGTAGGATGGTATTGTCTAATGCTGTCTTCGAAGTGGAAAGTCTGTGCCGTGCACTGAGGTTGGCGATGCGGCTGAGATACAGGGAGCCGGAGGGATCAGATGGATTCCAGTCGGGGTTCGCTGCCTGAATGGGCCATCGCAGGACAGTCATCATGGGTCAGACACAGCCGCAGTCTATCATCATCAACCGTCACAGTATTCAGCCTCACAGAGGCAACCTCACTTAGGATTGGCTCATTCCCGGCCTAGTGTTGCTCACAATTTTATTGCGACCTGGGCGTTTCCACCAAGCCCAACCCTGACTCAAAAAGCTCATGCGGCTGTGATCCTTGCAGCCTCATTGAACTTGGCTCCCCAGCTGACTGAGGTGATTCAGCAGACTGGGCTGAGTCGCGAGTCGCGGTGTAACAGTTGGGTTTGGCAGCGATGGGTGCCAGGGGTCCTGCAGAGGTCTTCGAGGTCTTAGGTAGCCATATATAGTTCATGTTTTAGGGTTAGGAGATACACCACTTTCCACCAGCTTTTGCTGTGTGATAGCTTTGTGAGGCTTTTGCTTGGCATTGCCTGTGCTTGCCTAGGCCTTTGCTGTTCTGGTCTTTGCTGTTCTCACGTCTCGGAGGTTTTAGCCTCGTGTCTGCTGTCCTCCTGCTGGTGCCAGAGTGCACCGTTCCAGCGGCAGCCCACATTGCTGCCATCATCTCTATCCGATAACTTTCCAATGTTGGCCCAAGCCACACCCTCACACGCACCAATCTTCATGATACTCCTCAACAGCGGCTATGAGTCAACGACTCACTTGTCCACTCAGGGCGCCAAATGTGTCACAGCAGCCGCAGGGCCATCTTCAATGCATGCTATCATTTGGTCTTCAACAAAGGGTATCGTCCCATTCGGGCTCAAATGATTTATATTTTGATGTATTGAGAGAATGAAACAATGGGCCTTCAAAGACTCATTATTACCCTCAGTTCGCTCTCTTACTGATATGGCTAATTCTGTGTGGACAACCGAGGCCAATAGCCCTGAAACAGATGTTAAGCATTTCGCGAAACATGGCGGCCACATTGACTGATCAATTGGGAATAGGGTTACTGAGGGCGTGGTCCCTAGAACAACTAGAAGACAACCCCAGCCTTGCGAGATCAAAGCTTGGGCCAGTGCTCATGTAAATATCTGGCTGAATGACAGTCATAGTGAGGGTATTTGTATTCCTCAAGTATGACCTCGATTTCAGCCATGATTTGATGGTGATGGACGCACACATTATGGAGCACGCAAACTGGGTGGAAGGTTTAGTAGCGAACAATGCATTCATTTACAGTACCATATCTGTGAGTACAGTGCGCGGACTTGACCTTTATTATGACTGAATCACGACTCTTCTTTTAGGTCGAGGGAATTGACATGGACATCGCTTTTGCCAACCCCACCATCATAACATTGGCGAGGTACTTGTTATATGACAGTGAGTTTCGGTATCATCAATATATCACTGGAGACGATTACTTCCCATTACTTGCGATGATCGCCACTCAGTGCTTGTGAGTATTCCAGGAATACATAACCAGTAGATATGTCGACAGTGTGTTTATTTGAGATGCAAATAGACATCACTACGAATCATATGTTTTACAGCTAGCAGCTCTCACTCCAGCGCGTTTTGCAGCCCTTGTATGACTTTTTACGAATAGCTCTGCTTTGATTCATTGATACTTGCTTTACTTGGTATGATACATTACGAAGTTACTGATCTGTCATGTACTATAGCTGTTGTCGTTATGTCAAAATAATTTATGGTCCGTCGCATCCTTCGAGGGCTGTTTATTGACCTGCCTACACCTTGTACCTCTCAGATAAAAGTAAGCATGCCATGTTGTCTGAAACTAACATACTCATCTACTAGCAGGCGGAGAAAATATCAACATTGCTCTGTTATCTTCCGCCCCCATTGTAGCGCCCTTGGGCACTCTTGGTGCGACAGCCAAGGTGAAATGGTGGAGTGATGCACAAGCTGGATTGACACGCAGCGGGAGCATGCTGGACCATTGCTTCACTCCTTTGTATGAACTTAAGCATCCCAGGTATTCCCACGCTGGTACTAGGCGGTCATCAATGTCCCCTGAACTTCCGCACAGGCGAAGATTTGTGAGTGCAATTATTGAGCTGACTTGTTGGTTCACTGAACAGCATATCAGATGGGTTACCCCACACCTCCCATGGATGTCTCTTGATGAGGATGGTCAAGAGCCGCCTGTGTTCATCAACGTGAGTGTCACATATTATTAGTCAATTTCAGTACTTGATAATTCCTTGAACAGAATAATCCTTTTAAGGCAATGGTTTTATCGCCTCATTCTGACCTTCTCCCGTCGTCTTGTCAGAATTAGCTTAGGGTCCTTGGCACTCTAGCCTGGGACTACTTTTTCACCGGTAGTCAAGTTGTTGGAACGGTGACCACTGAGACATGAAAACACACCTAACACTCTACAGAAAAATGGATCAAAACAAGCCCAAGACAACAAGACATGTGATACACTCTAAAAACACTCTCGGCAACCTCCAGTGACTCCGATCGGCTGCTTCCTGCCGCTGCTTCTACTGCCTCCGAGCCTTTCTGTACCTAGGCCTCACGTCCCTTGCTGACACAAGCCTGTCCTAGGCCAGTCCATCAACACGAAAACCCACTCTACTGCTATCTCCCAGCCTGCCTGCCCTAAACCTCGCTCACTCAGAACTCTACTGACACCAACCCGCTCCAAAACCCAGGCCAAAGGACCATCGGCCAAACCTAACTGTCACAAATACCCCCCCAAAACATGCGACACTCTGGGGTCGCACACCAGGCTTTAGTGGCGTCCCACGACATTTGTCCTAATCATCGGTGTCAAAGTCTTCATCGTCTAGCGTCTCCGCGACCCATGGTATTTCTGTCTCTCGTTCTAACGGATCTCCCTCCTCATTTTGCAGCCTTTCTTTCTCCACCTCATCTAGCAATGATCCTGTGCGTGGTAAGAATAGTCGTAGTCGCCTCGCATGTACCCATCCGGCAATGGGAAAGTCTCCCAGTGTTGCGAGTTGGTACGAATTGCCCCATTTGTGAACAATTCGGCGAGGAGCCGACCACCGAGGTAAGATTTTGCACGAGGAGGAGTAGTTCCCGTCAATGTCGCTAGCGTAGACTTGGACCAATTGTCCGTTTTCAAACGTGACTTTGCCGGCGTTTGAAGCTAGCACGCGTCGATCGAATGTAGCCTTACACCGTAAGGTGTTTGCGACGTTATTGGCTAGGGCGTCTACGCCCTGCTGTGCCACATAGGCTGAGTGTACCTGTACATTTGCGTCAGTAATAGATTCGGCGAGATGATTGACTGGTGTGCGAGGCGTGTCAATGACAAGTCCAAATATCAACTCCTTCGGTGAGAACTTGAGCGCTGGTAGGACACGTTCATTGAGTTGTGCTATGGCAGTCTCGAACTTGTCTGGCCATCCATTTGGTACTGATTCTGTGGACTCGTTGGATGATTCCTCCTCCCCTAGGTTGGGGGCACAAGCACGTTTGAGACGTCCTAATAAAATTCTGTTAGCTCCTTCAACTAGCCCATTGACCCACAGGGCGTATGCCGGAGTGACATGGCGTTCTACACTATGCGTCTTGCACCACTCATCCATTTCATTGTTGTCGAAATGTTTGCCCCCGTCAGTCATGAGTTTTTCTGGTAACGTGAACTCTTGGCGGATTCTGTCGAGTGCTCCAATGGTCGTTTTGGCTGTTCCGTGCGTTTTGAGCTTGAATCCCCATGTGTATTGGGAGTATACATCTATGATTAGCAAGATATTATGGTATCCTCCCTTACCTTTGGGCATCGCTAAGTAGTCCGCAACAAACAGCTCGAACGGGTGCCGTCGCACGATTGGCTGCAACAGCGAGTGCAACTGAGTTGCTCCAAAGTTTTTACACTGTCCACAATCCAGGATGGCGTTAGTGACTATTTGATCTAAGCGGGGACAGAATATCTTATCCATGAGCCTGAGTTTGATGAGGTCCCGTCCCCAATGTCCGTTCGTCATATGTTCTTGGTATGCCATTTCACGTGCCTCCTCCTGCGTGACGCATTCGAGACAGTTGTGTACTCAGTTAGCGAAACTACTGGCTGTCCTCCATAGCTTACCGTCCATGACGAAAAAGTGTTGCGCTCGGTGTCTTGCGCATCTCTTTTCTCGTACTGATTTGCCTTGATCCTGGTCTGTCAGAGCCTCTAAAATGTCAGTGAAGAAGGGTTCTTGGTCGAATCGCTGTATTAGTGCGAGTGTGTCTGCTAGGGCCACTAGCGATCCTTGGCTTACGTCCGTTGTACTTACTCCCATGATGTCCTGAACTATACCTCTAGATGCTTCCCAATCCTCACTAACAGTCCACGCGCTTCCGTCATCCTCCGTAGGTTCGGTCGTGCTGAAGCTTCGACTAAGTCCGTCAGCAGCTGTGTTACTCGTTCGGGTTTGTGCCGGACATCGACAATATGGTACATTAATATTCCGTTGCGCCATCGCGCGTGCGCTACGCCTAATTTCGGACTTAGTAACGTGTCTCTGAGCACTTGGCAATCCGTTTCGATTTCGACCGGTGCTCCCCAGATTGTATCTGAAAACTGGTCTAGGGCGAACTTTAGCACAGCAAATTCTAGAATGAAAGGTTTGTACTTAGCTTCGGTTGGTGAGGTTCGCTTCAATGCGTATGCTATAGGATAGGTTGCTGTGGTGGTTCTTCCTGTTGGCGAGGTGAACGTCTGCTTTTGTGCTAGAACTGCTCCAAAGCCATCCTTGCACCCGTCTGTTGTGACTATGAACGGGGTCCCGTCGAACCTTGGCCCTTTGAGGACGGGTTCCGATACCAGCATTTGTTTGAGCTGCATGAACACCTTGGTATGTCGTGGTCCCCAGTGCTGATGGAGCTTCGTGTCCCATAGGTGTTGTTGATACTTCCTCTTGCCTACCTGTGGCCCCCCGGGTGGTATGCCTAGCTTTCGAATGAGGTCCGTTAATGGTGCTGCGATACGCGCGTAATCCTTGATTAATGATCTAAAATATCCAGTTAGTCCTAGGAATTGCATTAAATTGTGAACTGTGCTGGGAATGTCCCATTGGACTACTGCTGTGAGCTTCGTGTGGTCTGGTTTGATGCCCTCTGTTCCCACTCGTGCTCTGGCAAATACGACCTCGCTCATAAAGAGCTGTGTTTTCGATGGCGACAAGAATAATCGCATCTTCCAGACGTGTTCGAAGAACTTCCACAGTGGAGTGAGTTTTTCGTCGAAATCACTACCTGCCATGCCTGAGTCATCTACATAAAGTTCGTATAGCAAACCTATTTGATCCTTAAGGCTAATGGCTGCCATATCTCCGAATGTCGTTGGTGCTCCCATTAGTCCAAACGGCATGCGACAGTAGCAATCATATCCTCGTCCTTCGGTATAGAACACCAGGTAAGGTTGCGTATCTTCGTCTACTGGTATCGCATAGAATCCGGCAGCAAAGTCGATGATACTAACCCAGCGGTGGCCGCACAATCATTGCTGTTTCGCTCTTATGTCTCCTTGGGGCACTGGTGGAATCTGTGAGGCGCGGTTGATTTCCGCAAAGTTTTGACATATCCTCCACTTAGATGGTGTCTGCTCCTTTGCCATGCTGTCTGCTGTCATCCTTGGTCTGGCTGGTAGGTCGTCCCTTGTAGGGAGTCCATGTTGCTTGCATTGTTTGTTTACCCTATGAAGTCACTCTTCAAACGGTAGACCTTCAGACCCGTGTGCTTTCTGGGCCAGCACCGTTGGACTTGCAGCCTTGACTTCCTCTGGTGCGATACGACGTATTATGCCCGCTGACTCAAGTTCGTTGAGACGTTCGTAAAGATATGCGCGCTGCGGGGGGTTTAGAGGTCATTGGTTCACTTTTGTCGAAAAGGTGGTGCCTTCTGGAAATGTGAGTTTGAAGCTTTTGAACATTACCGGATATACTTCACTAACTGCCAATGCAAACGTATCAGCAAACTCTTCGCAGAGATTACGCACCTGTTGTCTCTGTTCCGTGGATAGATCCTCCCCTATCATGATAGACTTGAGTACCTCGGCTATGTGGTCTTTGTTGAATGGGTCCGAATTACGAGTATATACATTATTCTTCTGTGTCGTCTTAGGAAAGTTGGGGATTTCCCCCAGGTGCTCGCTTGCGTCCATGTGTATTGGCCAGATGTTGTTCTCCTTGCTGGTGTCGTCTCTCACGGAAGGACTCACTGTTGCAATACTAGGTGAGCATGGGGTGAACGTTGAAGACTCGGTCACCATGGATATCTTCGGCCGGTTACTTGCTACCACTATATGTGCGCCCATCTTTGCCAGAGTTGCAGTATATTCGTCTATTCGGCTCTGTGTGAGGTGTGATGACAACTCGAACACATGTTGTTCTTCAGCTGATACAGCTTGTGTATCCATAACATCTGCAGGTATGGTGGCGATAAGGAACATAGGTGCGTTTGCGCGGTCGACAGGTATTGGCATGCTTTGTTTGGGTGGCGGTGCTGGCATTCCTTTCATTGGCGCTGAAGGGGAATTATATAAGTTAGTAACAATACTTGGCTTGGGATATGAAGGAATAGAAATTATATCTTGCGCGTAGTCGTGGACAGCACACAACTGTTCGAGCAACGGTTTACCAATTAGCATTTTCCACATGCCTCCGCTATCAAAAACCTCGAATGACGTGTATACAGCAGTGGATCCCCATTTGATCGTGCTTTTCCAGATGCCCTGAGATTGGACTAGAGAGCCATCTGCCATCCGGAGCCATCGGTTTGACTGAACGAGTTTTCTTAGTTGCCCCGACGTGCGATTGAATGACTTCGTATCGATCACATTTACCATTGCCCCATCATCGACGTTTGCTTGAAAACATGATGTTCGACCTTTGGTTCCGGTGAGGATAATGTTACGCACTCAAATAGATCTGTTATGCGGAGCCCTAAGAGGGGCGTCGTCCGCTAACGTTCGTGACGTAACCGGAAGGGTCCGGTGTAGCGACTGAGACTGGCGACGTTGAGTCGGCAGATATCAGAGATGCGCAGTGTCACGTGACTTCTAAGACGGATGTCTTCAAAGTCACTGACGTTCTCAAAGTAAGGACAGTCTTGTCCGAACGATGAGGTAGTCGATCAAGGTAGACTTAGGTGCGATGAGCACCTAAGAAAAGATACTAGAGACTGAAGCTGAGGGGGCTTCAGAGGGAAGTATGTTCGAGGGAAGATTGAGTAGATTCAAGTTAGGGAATCTAGTACAGAGTGACCGACTACTTATACTAAGTGGAAAGGGTTAAGGGCAAGGCTACCGTACTGTAGGTAAGGGCAAAGGGGAAATGGAAAGGGTATAGGTACGCTGGTAGCAGAGCCTGATTAGTGATGTAAGGTCGAATGCGGAATGAGACCGAGAAACGTTGGAACGAGCCAACGGTAAATGATACAATGTGCAGCATGCACGAGTCAAAGGAAAGATAAGACAAGATAAGGAAAGCCACATTGGTGGCACGAGTCAGAACGAGTCATAGCCCGAAGGCACATGCGCATGTTGGTGCGATAGGAGGGGGACGAGGGACGGGAATGGTCCCGAGGATCCGGTCAACGGATAGTCGGTAGAGAAGTACGAGCCAGAGGCATACGAGGGCGAGGACGAAGGGGAAAAATGATAGGGGGGCCATGTAGCCGATGTTACTTGTAACAGATAACTTGCGTGATGAAAGGCTTACTCTCAACTGGCGTTTCGGATGTGTTGTCGATTGTGTGGACGTCGGTTATGTTTTGATTAATTTCCCTCTAGTACAAGTCAGTGCATTGCATTGCAGATGAAGTAGATATAACACTCAGCGATTCTTCGGTATGTACGTCAGCGGATGTAAGGATAGATGATTCTGTGGTCGGATCTGAGTCGGTAGTACTATTGTCCATAGAATCTAAAGATGAAGCAGTAACGGAAGGGGTTGTTAATAAGTCAGGTTCAAAAGTAGCAAGCATGTTGGGGTCAGAACGCAGCATGGAAGCTGCCGAGGGAGACATGATTTCTAGAATATCTAACATAGGTACCACCAATTCTTCGTTGGCATCTTCTGGTATTGACAGGTTTTCGAATTCGGACGTTCCAGGCGATGTTGGTATAGACATGAGATCGAGCGCTGACGATGTCGTTATTGAGAAAGAAAGGTCCGTGGCTGAATCTTCGGTGGAGGCTGGGGATGATTGATCATCTGTTCCGGTGGAATCTATCGTTGTTGATTGCTCAACGCTTGATCTATCATTCATTGGGACTGCAGGATGCTCCCCTACTGCTGCAGCCCTGCCTGTTGAAAATGGGTTGCGAGGCATCTGAGTTTGGGGTGTCTGAGGTTGCGGTGGTAATGTTGGAGCTAACTGTGCGGTGGGTGCGAACTGGGGAGTCTGTTGCTGCTGCTGCTGCTGCTGTACTGATGGTGGGGCATATCTAGGTGGGAACGGGCGATACTGTTGCCATGCTGGTGCAGCAGGCTGTTCTGTTGCCTGCATGGATTGCGCTGGTGTCTTCTTCATCCCCATGGCTTGTGCCTGTAGCCAGTCCACATCTTCCCACAGTTTCTGTTCTGCCTCAATGCGCTGCTTGGTGCGCTGCAATTGGGATAGTGAGATTCGGTTGACGTCCGTGACGAAGTCTGGCCATGACGTGTACTGCTCTGTTAACAGGTCTCTGAGTATCGCCGGTGTGTTTTCTAACACAACGTCCATCAGTAAGCATCCCGTGTCCCTGAAACCTTGTGCCGTGCGTTCTATTTCCTTTGCCCACTTAACATGTCCCCATTCTCGTCCTCGCTCCTTTTCAATCATCCTTCCGATGTCTTCTTCTTTCAACGTTATTGCTTTAATTCGATCCTTCTGCTGCGCTAACGTAAATGTGATGTGTGTTGGCGGAGGCCACCTTCTTGCAAATGCTGCGGCGAATGTAGACCACGATGCCTTATCAGCTGCTGTGAGGCTGCGCACCCATACTTCTGCCATACTCCCTGCAGCACATTGGAGCTCGAAACGATCGATCTTGTCCTGAAAGCTGAGGTTCGCGACTGTTACTGAAAGTTGGTATTGACGGAACCACGTTGTAGGCTCTTCTTCTTTCTCGTAATCGCTGTAGAAACTCGGAAGTGGCACGATTGTCGTCATTGTTCCTGTGTTAGGAGTAGGTGCTGTTACAACGTGTATGGGAAGTGGTAATTTGCTGTGCGTTGGAACCGAGAATGGTTTCTGGAAGTTGGTTGTAGCTCGATGTTGAATAAACCTGAGATTTGTCTTTAGTCTGTTGAGTGTGGCGTCGTGTGGGGGTTTTGGCTCAATATCAAGAGCCAAGGTATCCCGATAAAATGCGACATGCTGTAGATTAGTCTTGGAATCTTCTTTCGGTGGTGAAATCTGGAGTTCTGATGCGACCCTTCTGAGCTGAGGAGACAAATATAATCGAGACGTCGGAAGCCTGCAAAGGCGACAGAGGTCATCTAGCGTGATCGCCGTCGTGGCGTGCTCACTCCAGTCACCAGGTGGAACGGTGACCACTGAGACACAAAAACACACCTAACACTCTACAGAAAAATGGATCAAAACAAGCCCAAGACAACAAGACATGTGACTACACTCTAAAAACACTCTCGGCAACCTCCAGTGACTCTGATCGGCTGCTTCCTGCCGCTGCTTCTACTGCCTCCGAGCCTTTCTGTACCTAGGCCTCACGTCCCTTGCTGACACAAGCCTGTCCTAGGCCAGTCCATCAACACGAAAACCCACTCTACTGCTATCTCCCAGCCTGCCTGCCCTAAACCTCGCTCACTCAGAACTCTACTGACACCAGCCCGCTCCAAAACCCAGGCCAAAGGACCATCGGCCAAACCTAACCATCACATTGTGCTTTCATTGGCTGGTGAAGTGTTAAGACCATGCACAAAGGGTAGGACTGATTCTGAGGGGCTTGGCTTCAGCTCGTGCACTGTGCCCCTTACCCAAGTATGTGCCCTTAATTTCAGATTGGTGTCTGAAGAAAGTCTGAAGATGTCTGAAGGATGTCCGAAGGCACAGAAAACTTCAGAAGGACTTTCCGGACGGGTGCAAGTAACTTCCGGATGAGTGCAGGAAAGTTCTGGAGGAACTTCCGGAACTTCGGATGAGTGGAGGATCGGAGGAGCAGAGGAGCAGAGGAGCAGAGGAGCAGAGGAGCAGAGGAGCAGAGGAGCAGAGGAGCAGAGGAGCAGAGGAGCAGAGGAGCAGAGGAGCAGAGGAGCAGAGGAACAGAGGAGCAGAGGAACAGAGGAACAGAGGAGTGGAGGAGCGTAGCTCTGGCCTAGGGAGAAACTCCCTAGGCCTGAGATGGATATCAACTAAGTTGGAAGACTAGAACTGATATGAGGACTTAGAGTGAAGACTAGTGTGAGGACTAATATGATATTCTGACTGAGGAACTATAGGACATATACAAGAGTTTATATACTAAGTGACTATCAGAAAGATCAATAAGCAAAGGTCCGAGGCTATGTACGAAGCATAAGCAAAGTTATCAAACACGAGTCGGAAATGAAGCATAGGTTAACAGATCAGTAAGCATACCGGTAATGGATATAACCAAGGTACTGGAAACAAGGAGTACCGGATAGGCTGTGTTAACGTTATATGCACAGGAAATAAATCAAGAAGCTTATCGTATATCAGATCAGAAATGTATCTATACATCGAATAGGATCAGATCAGATCGGATATGGTCTGGACGAGATGCATGGATATGCGAGATATAACATTAGGGCGATGGGACAAGGATGACTAATGCAGGCTAGCTGCGAAGGAAAAGGGATCTGGACGTGGACATGCGGATGTGGATGTGCAGAGGTGCAGGGATCTGGATGGGTAGAGGACTGGAGACATGGATAGGACATCCGAAGGTCTGGATGAGGCATGGGAATATTATTGGATATAGGTCCGGAATACGGGATATGACATGAAGGCCCATTAGCTGAAGTGAGTGTCTAAATGCAGAAATTGAGCTACTATGATATCAGTTACTAATTCTTAGCATTCTAAGTCTTCCCCTTTAGGCAGTCACCATGATCCTGCTTTGGTGAGTTGCATACGTACAGTACCACCAGAGGTCGTCATAAAGGTTCACCGAGGGTGAGGTCCTAAGTCTGACCATCAGTGTATCAGATGTCCGTCACTCCGCCCACTTCAATTTGTCCCTATGGTGACTCCTCGGATGATCAGAATGTTCTCTTGCATACTCAGATCGAATCTATTCCATCTACTCGCCAGTGCTCCCGTCTTAAAACGGTGGCATATCTCCTTGGTGCCCGTCAAGACCTACCTGATCTGGTCCACGACTCAGAGACCAACCGCATCCGTGCTGTTCAGTCGTGGTACTCGTCTGAATCATCAGATGAACAACCGTCAGAACCACACCCCACCTGCTACCAAGGGCCCAAGCAGCCCGAGCATCTTGAGAAAGGTATATCTGACAGCTGCCTTAATTTCCTTACAATATCATACTCACATCATACTGCTAGTCGAATTTTGAATTCCATTGAACACTGCAGATAGGAACAAATTGACGACATACATAGGTCATTTTTTTGCTGAATCGGACCATCCCTTGGATATACTCAACTCCACAAGGGCTGTAATGGACCTCCCAAAAACATACGAGCATTTGGGATGGTGCTTGTCCACAGCCCGCCGCACAGACGTGCCACATCAACTTTTGACTTCTCTAGATATCTCGAGTGCCTTCAAGGCTGCGAGGACGGAGCAGAGGTCTGGACAGAAGAAGAAAGTTGTGATTGATATCGTCAATACCGTAAGTGCCATTCTGATCTCAGCTTGCCTATATGATATGATAGTCACGGTAACTTGCCGTAGATGCCTGCGCTTGAAGGAAAGTCAACAAAACCACAAGCAGGAAGATGTTCTACAAGCAAGCAGAACCTCAAGGTGTCCGATGTGAAGAAGTAATAGTGACTGGCTAGCAAGTAAGCTAGAGCACTAATAAAATCCTACTGAGTGTGGGTGTGCTATATCGACCCAAGAAAATTGCTATGAAGCACTTCCTTCAAGTATAATGCGAAGGGAGTAGATGTGGAACACGGAAGAATGAACGCGATGGACGGAAAGCGAAGCCGACGGTAGGAGCGAAGGCGAGAGCGTGAACCCAATGAAGGCGCGATGAAAAATGAGCGAGAGTGAGAGGTTACTAGGTAATGCGCAGTTCCGCGGGTAGGAGGTAGGTATGGACGAGGGTTATAGCCGAGGTATAACTAGGTATGGAATGCTAAGTCTGAACCCGCGTACGGAACAGATTTGTGCAGAGCCTAGGTAAGGAACTTAGATGCGCGTTCTCAGAGCGGTCGAGAATGCGCGGGTTCGAGTAAATGAGAGTCAAAGATTGTCAATTGGTCAAAAATACTAAGAACGTCTAAGTGACTTCGCGAAACAAAGGGATAGCATCTGAGCGAAGGGAAGTACTTTACTGTATGTAACGCGCGAGATTTTATCCTACTGCGTGAGTGTCCGGAATCCGTAGGCGAGACTTGTAGCGATGAAACAAGGCAGATAAGTAATATGTAATGTGAACGCGCGCGGAACGAAACACACGGATACATGTAATAAGCCATACCACATTATTAGTCAACCTGGATAGGAATAGACACGCACCAGCGGAACTCGACGGACATGGAAGGACATGGACGGACGGAACGGAAAATCGGACCCGAGAACGGAAGACCATCGGATTAAGTGCGACCGAGGAAGGCTTCGTTGTTAGAGGCATAAGGAAGGATGTCAGTGGGTAACTTCCTATATCTCCTGACACAAGTATGAAAAGACACTCGTTCCTGCCCAGCGTGGGTCCAAGCGTCACACCGAGCTGTCATGTCTACCATATACCAAGGAACTTGAACATGTCAAAAGCAAGTTGCCCTGCTTTGAGCATCAACTTGGAGACTCTGAGTTGGAGAACACCGCAACATTCTCTTGGGTGGATGCGTCGCAGCTAAACACTCCACACTATCCGCTATGTACCCAAGACCTGCAGGAGTGGGCTAAACATTTGGTACACGCACACTCATGCCTCCAAGCGCACTACTAGCACATGATACTGATAAATGTTAGTATGACACTTGAGATTTGTACAATGCCTGTGCTACTTTACCCAACACACCTCACTTCGACGATGTTCGCAAGACACATAAGGAAAGATCATCACTTCAGTGTGTGCCCACCGAGCGCATATCTCCTGTCATCCATAACCATGTCCATATCTCATCTGCCACTAACAACTCAGGCATATGGTCTTCTAACGATGTGGAGGGCCCTAAGGCTCTGACTCCTCAACCACTCAAGAGGACATTTGCGCTCTTCATGGAGAGTGATGAAGAAACTGATGATGAACCGCTGCAAGATATTGACGCAGTCCTTACGAGCATCAATTCTTGCTACCCTGCTATGAACTTTCCGAAATATGTGAATACGCTGAAAGAGCGCGGTATTTTTTATCTGTCGACCCCAGCGCACTCTAATAGTCAGTTTTATGTGGAGAAGGTTGGCATGTCGGAGGGAGCTGCATTTATGTTTCACACTGGCATTTGCAAAGCTCACATGAAGGATGAACGAAGGAAGGCGAGAAGAAAGGCTAAAGGGAAAAAGAAGGCATGAGCTGATGATATCATGCAGATAAAGAGAATATTCAAGGTCTCTATTAGCGTATGGCATCACTGTAATCACCAAGTGCATAATTCACATTCAGCCAGATTCTTACATCGATCATCTTGACTTCTGCCAACAGAGTATCATTGAAATCCAGGTCCAAGACTACTATGAAGTAGTACCAGTATTGTAATGCCAATATTAGTAACACGTACATACATCATTTCTTCTTTACTGGGGCAACCTTGACGAGTCTGGCCCTAGTAGTCCAGGATCTAACTAACACCCAAATTGGTGAGTCTCATTCTCTCCTTATATCAGCCTCAGGTGAATTGGAATGATTACATACATATGTCGAACAGGCACGGACTAGAAAGGAATGCATGACTTATATGACCTATGTATCTATACACCACGATCAATAATAAGTATGACGAGACAGATTACTGATCACCTCACCTCAGGCCAGAGCCTCAGACATGGGTGATGCACTGCATCTTGATTCCCTCACTACGCTGTCTATGCATTCCCTGAAGCAGTATTCAGCATCTCCTGGGTCATAATCCTCCAAGGATAAGTCCTGCTCAGCAACAGTCATCTCCAGATAATTGAGTTGCACGGCTGCAATATTGAATGCCACAAGATCATGGGAATATGCAGCAATGGTGAAGTCTGTGTCATCTTCGAGCTGATGCCTGTTGCGTCCGACCATCATCAGCCTTTCGAAAAAGCAAGCCTCTTCCCTACTCTTGACATACTGTCGAGAATAATCCCTTAGAATTGTTTGAAGAAGTACTGCGTGTTTTTCAGCTGCCTCGAGTTCCCACGCTGCTGCGAGTGCACGTAAACGCTTGCTTTCGGTATCAGCTCGCTTTGCCGCAACAGCTGATCGGACAGTCGTGTCTGGCATACTCTGTATGCCACATTTGAAGATCTCTTCACCCTAGTACAATACTCGTCAATTCATGTGATATGCAGTATAGGGAAGGCAAACAAACCTGCTGGATGTCCATTAGACTGATATCAGCCTTGTCTCGCTTTAGAATGTTCTTCGTCAAAAATGATGCTCTAGTGCAGTGGGCTTATCCCCACCAGACAGCTTTGGCATGAACTTTGTGCTAGCACGATTTGCATAACATGACAGATGTCCAATTACTGGAGGAAGCCCTGGCGGAAGGCTTGATGAATCGATATCATTTGTGTCATTGTGGAGAGGACTTTCATTTTGGAGAGGGCCTTCAAATAAATGTTGATTAGGGTCCATGGGTTCCGTTACCATTCTTTTACGATCCATGTAATGGTGATTAGCATGACTTGAAGTAATATTGTCCTGAGGCATAGATCGCGGTTTGGTAAGAAGATGAGATTGACCATCAGCCTGAGATGCCTCCAACATCATCAGGTCACAATGACCTGAGTCAGGACCAAGGTTATTGGCAATGTAATAAGCGGAAAGAACAGGGGATGATGATAGCATGCTGGCCTGAGTGTCCTTTGTGTTCAGTTCTGTTAAGACTCACAGCAGTCAATGGTATTAGTGTGTGTGAGTTATCAGAGTTTTAATGGCTCCGACGGCAGCACTTCTCACTCGCACGAAGAAAAGGACACCAATATCAGTATTAGTGACGAGTCCTAGTTTTGGTATCATGATTGCACCGTCACCGTGGCTACTTTTGTGTCTCGAGTGGGCCGCGACGTTGCTAAACTGGCCTCATGCTCATGATAATAAACCTTCTATAGTTCTGGGCCCTCGAGTCAGGCTATAGTCATATTAACAGGACACGCGGCAGTAACACTACTAGAACTGACCTTAGCCCATATCATTATATTTATGTTTTGAACGGAAGCATGGACTTGAAGTTGTGACGCAACTTGACAGCAGCTGTGCACACTGCTGAGTGCGGCAGGTTGTCAAATTCCTAAAATGTATGAATTCTTTATGTCATATCTGGTCATAGTTACTAATCTCTTATCTCTTTCACAATACCGTGACCATCCTACCATTTTGAAATAAATTGGAGTTGAGAGATCTGTTGACTTACCCTTTCGAAAGAGACAAACTTTCTACCCTACTACTCCGAGCGAGAAGTCGTTGGTGGAGACTCACCTCAGAATGCACAGAAAACTTTTATGGCTTATTCTGCTGCTATTCTTCATTCATTATCTGATGGTCACATTCTGCAATGCTCCAGGCTGCTCTTGGGAGAAAGTAACTGCCGATGCTCAAGGGCTTAGTAGACATCGTGCAATGTGTCGGTTCTATCGCAAATCCAAAGTCTTAGCCAGTCAGAAAAGACAAGAGAGAGCAAAACAGGCAACTCAAACTCCGACGACTTGCCTGCTGCGGAAATCGGTATGGATGTCCGAAACACTGGCAGGCTCAGCCAGTTCTTCAGTGAGCAAGTCCAAGCCTTTCATACAATGAGTGCTGAACTATTTGTGTGCCTCTAGCAAATACGACCCATCCAGCACGGAGACAGTAACCGCCACAGGCACATTTTCCTGTGCAAACTGTTAGACAGGAACCACTACACAACCAGGGCTAGCATATCTCCCAGCGCAGCAGGTCTCGAGGATTTTCAGCAACTCCCTGAGCAGCAGCTTCAGTTTGATACTCATGATAGTGTCGACAACAGGTCGCAGACCGATGCTTTGGGTATGTCTGAGTCTACGGTTAGGCTCCCAAATTGGCTGACCATGACAACCTGTCACCTGTCCTGTTCTTCACTCTTCAGAAAAACCTTCACACCCTCAGAGACAAATTCCTAGACCTTTTGATGATGTTCCTCTTTCTGACGAGGACACCAATTATTTGGATAGCATTGCTGCTTCACCCGCTCGAAACGCAGACCAACCTCAATCTAGATTGCGAAGGGTTATACTCAAATTACGAGATTCACTTCAGACCAACTTCAATTCTATCGGACTTTGTCGACTGTACCCTCGTCGCCCATCTTTCAAGCCAGATAAATTTGTTCCGTCCTCGCTGCTGTCAAGTACGAGTCCAACAGGCACGCAAGATACTGAACCATCTACCGTCCTTCCACCTCCCTATCCTTTTGCTAACATGTCAATTTATTGACTCATCTCTTGGATGAATTCCAGTAGTAGTCAGAAATCCGAGATTGAAATTTCCTGTCTTGTCAAGGAAGTCATTCTAGCGGAGGATTTTAACGTTAAACACTTGGAGGACTTCTTCATGAGGAAG